CGGGCGGGCGCAGCGCCGCCCCCGCGCACGCCGGGCCGGGCCGGGCCGTGCCGGCTCTGCCGCCGCCTCCTGGGGCGGACAGCCAAGGTAACCGGGCCGGGCGGGGTGCACGATGCTCCGCGGGGGCTGGCGGGCGCTCGGCACCGCCCTGGCAGCCGGGGCCGTCCTCGGGGCCGTTCTCCGAGCCGGTACGTGCGGCGGGGGCGCCCCGAGGGGCCGCGGGGGCTCTCGGGCCGTGCCTCGCGGCTCCGGGCGGGCCCGGCCCTTGGGTGACTCGCGGCCCGAGCAGGCCGGGAGCTGCTGGGCTGCGGCCGGGGCCGTGCCGTGCCGAGCCCATCGCGGAGGCCCCGCGGAGCCCCGGAGGGCGGTCAGTGCTCGGGGAGGAGGATGGGGGGCCGGGCTGCGTTCGGCGGGTGACAGCTTGTACCGGTGATGGAACCAACCGCACACTGTCCGGGACTGCGTTTGCGTTTCGGGCCTAAATCCTCACAGGCTGTCCTGGGCTCTCTGCGAGGTCTCCCCAGGTGGTTTTGCATCACTGGGGATTTAAGACGTGGCTGTGATGAGTGAGGACCCGGACAGTGCCGCAGCTGCAGGGTGGCAATGCCAGACCGAGCCTGTGGCAGCTCCCGGGATCCCGGGGTCTGCTCCTTCCACCCTGCCGGCCCTGGGAGCTGCTCCCGGGATCCTGGGATCTGCCCCTTCCACCCTGCCGGCCCTGGGAGCTGCTCCCGAGATCCCGGGGTCTGCCCCTTCCACCCTGCCGGCCCTGGGAGCTGCTCCCGAGATCCTGGGATCTGCCCCTTCCACCCTGCCGGCACTGGGAGCTGCCCTGGCTTCACACCCATTTCTTGGAGCCACAAACTCTCTGGGTATCCCAAAAATCCCTGCAGAGTGTGAAGAGTGAACGTGGTTCTGGTGGGGCAGCACAGCAGCTGGGCGTGCAGTCATTTCTGAGTGACAGCCCTGCTCGGAACGGGAATTTTCCACTCTTTTATGTAATGAAGAGAGTAACCCCAAACGTTCTGGAGGAGGTGCACGAAGCAGCCGGGTTCAGAGGGAACCTGCGTGCTGTCAGTGCCCAGCTGACATTAACACTGCAGCTCCAGCTGTGCCCGTGATCCATCCCACAAGCCCAGGTGGGTGATCCAGAGCCGGCTGCTCTCCCACTCCTCTGCTCCAGACCTGGGACAAAGCTGAGCGAGAGTGAAGTCACTGGGCGTTAATGAATTCTGGGGCAGAGCTGTGTGTGTGACACGACCTGGGCTGGACAGGTCTGAGCAGGGCGTGAGGAGCTCCCTGCTCTCTCCTGAGCTGCAGCTGAGCTGCACATGGCAACTCACAACGCGTGAGTTTCGTTCTTGGTGGATGTTTTCTCATTCTTTTGTTGAAATTACATGTTTGGAAACATTTCCTTATGTGGTGCAGCTTGTTTGTTTGTTTGGTAAGAATTGCAAATTACACACGCAGAGAGACTGTGGGATCCGGGCCAAGGGTAGAGATGGTTCATAGGAAAGAAGAATATTAAATATATGAATATTTCCTTTAAGTTAAGGTTGGGTTGTTTCTTTTTGTTTGGTTGTATTTTTTTTCCTAGTTGGTGTCTGGCCTGCAAACAAACGCCCAGTATAAATAACTCTTGTGACAGAAAGTTCTCCCTGTTGGCGAGCAGTTGTTTTTTGGGCATTTTTTTTCCCCATCAAAGAACAGTAAGGGTTTTTTTTTTGTGTTCTTTTTTTGAAAGGAGTCTTCTCCAGAGGAGAACTGCAGGTAGGGATGCTTCTCCCAATCCTGTAAATACCCAGTGCATGCCTGTTGCATTGTGCTTTGGGTTTTTTTTTTGTTTTTTTGAGCACTATATTTAATTTCACTGGTTCCCCTTCCCTCATGAGCAGACATGATGGAAGGGGAAGAAGCTCTGGGCAGGATGGTTGTGCCAGAGGGCTCTGACAGCTCCCTGTGCCCGGGCTGGGCTGGCAGCAGGAGCAGATCTGCAGGACTGTGGGGCTCCTGCAGAGCTGCTCTTATCAAGGGTGGGCAGGCTGGGGACAGTGGGACAGGGTGAGCACCAGCACGGGGACCCCTCCCTGTGGCACGGAGGGAGGTGGCCGAGCAGGAAAGTCAGGAGCCTTTGGCAGAGTCAGTGGTGCAGAATAAAATGGGTCTGAGCCAGCACAGGCACCTGTGGGTTGTGCAAACACCTCGTGGGTGCTCAGACAGCAGTTCCTGACCTGCAGGGACTGGCACCTCTTTCCCTGCCAGGGTTTGAGCTCAGCTCTGAACTCAGGGCCCCAGCAATGCCAGCTGTCTTTGCTTCCCTTCCTTCAGTTTGTGTGTAACACCTCTCAGGGTTGGTTATTTCTTTAAGAGCCTGTGCACCGAGCAGTGCAGCTCAGGTTATTTGTATCTGGAATTGGCCTCTTGGATCTGATTAAACATTGAACCAAAAGCAAACATGGAAGCTCTGGTGTTGCATCAGGGCATGAGTAAGAGCCCTGTGTTACCTGGCCAGGTAGGGAGCTTTCCTCCCTTGGAGAGGCTGTTTTCTCTCTGTGTGCAGTGCAGGATGACATTTCCCCCAGAAATACAAACTGGATATTTCTGTTGCAGCAGTGCGTGTATTTCTGTATTTCTCCTTTTCTTTTTTTGCCCTCCTTCCTTTTTGGTTTTTGGCTCTGACGTGTCCTTTGTGCCTTTTTTTGCAAAGTCACTGTCCCAGGCTGACCTTTGGCCAGCTCCATTCTGCTCTCCTGCCCCTTGAAATCTCCTCTCTGATGCAAGTCAAAGTTGTCCCTGCATGGAAAGCAAAGTGTCCTGTCCTTCTTGGGGCAGCTGTGCAGCACCCAGAGCCTTGAGGGGCACCAGGTTTTGTCCCCTGGTGGCCTCTCTCCTCGTGTCTGGAGGAGGCAGGTGGGGCTGTGCTGTGAGCTGGGGCACCTGCCATGCCCTGTCCCACCTGTGCCCCTCCCAGGGCTGAGCTCTGGCTGTTTTTGGGTGCCCAGGTCCAGCACAGCTGCGAGCTAAATTCCTGCACACAGAGCACGAGCTGAGGGAGCCCAAGACACTGAGCCAGGCCGACATGAAGGTGGAAATCCTGCCAGCCCTCACTGACAACTACATGTACCTCCTCATCGACCAGGACACCAGGGAGGCTGCCATAGTTGACCCTGTGCAGCCCCAGAAGGTAACACCCCCCTGGCTCTGGGATGGCCTTCCAGGATGTCCTTCCAGGAGGGAACCAGCCCCACGCTGCCTCAGGTGTGGGGGAAAGGCTGGAAGGGCTGGCTGTGCACAGGGACAGCCCTGGGTCACTCCAGGGACTGCTGTGTCACTCCCTCACTCACTCCAGGGATTGCTGTGTCCCTCACTCACTCCAGGGACTGCTGTGTCCCTCCTTCACTCCAGGAATTGCTGTGTCCCTCACTCACCCCAGGAATTGCTGTCCCTCCTTCACTCCAGGGATTGCTGTCCCTCACTCCAAGGATTGCTGTCCCTCACTCACCCCAGGAATTGCTGACCTGGTTTGGGATTTTGGTCTTAATTTGATGTAGGGCAGAAAAGGGAAGTGGGGCTTGGGGCTGGGTCAGGGCTCGTGTGCTGCTCTCTACCTCCATCCTGGGTGGGATGAGCTCCTGCAGGGCTGCTGTGGCTCTCACTCCTCGTGCCCAGGTGCCACCAGGGGTGCTGCCAGCTCCTTCCATGGTGTGACTCTCCTCCTGTGTCCCTCCTGCAGGTTTTGGATGCAGTCAAAAAGCATGGAGTGAAGCTGACCACTGTCCTGACCACCCACCACCACTGGTAAGCCCCCTGTGTGGTCCCTCACACACAGCCAGGAGCTGCTGCTCTCCTGGCTCCAGGTGATCTCTGAGCAGCAGCTGAGCGTGAGCAGGAGGATCAGAGCTCATTCCTTTGGCCTTGCTCTGACCAGATGCCTTGTGCAGAGCTGTGTGTCAGTGCCTTTCACCTTTAAAATGCAGATTTTTTCAGGCAGCCAGTGCAGTGGCTGGGTGTGGGAGCACTGGTGCTGAGGTGCCAGGACATGCCCGTGAGGCGTCCTGCAGTCAGCATTGTGGGAGGGTCACACAGGTGCAGATCAGCTCTGCCAGGGGTGTAAAATGAATGTTTTGCTGTAGTAAACTGTCTGTGGGTCAGAGTGGAGCCACCTCAGTGGCTGGAGAGTGAAACAACCAGCCCTGAGCTGGACAAACCTGCAGCACAGCAGTGCTGGGCTCTGGGGTAGCTGTGTGCCTGCTCCCTGGTGTTTTATGGGATGCTGGATTGCACATTTTCCACTCGCCCCATTCCCTCCCTGTCCCAGTTACTGCAGAGGTTACTGGGAGCCCCTAAGGCTGCTGTTTCCCGAGTGGGGATGGACTTGTCAGGGATTGATTCCCCCTCTCACTGCCCTAACTACTGGAGAAATGATCTCCACTCCTGTTGTCATGGGCTGTCCTTGGCTGTGAGGAGTGATAGATACTGAGAGAGGCTGGATCAGAAATGATCACCTGGAGCTTACCCCTGCCCTCCCAGTGACCATAAATCTGTGTTCATCCCTCCCCAAATCCCCTTTTTTTCCCCTTCCAGGGACCATGCTGGAGGCAATGAGAAGCTGGTGAAGATGGAGCCGGGGCTGCACGTCTACGGAGGGGACAGCAGGGTGGGGGCCCTGACCCACAGAGTGTCCCACCTGACAGCTCTCAAGGTGAAGGGGGGACTGCAGGGCTCTGGGTGTCCCCTCCTCGTGGCACAGCTGTGTTCCCTGCTGGGCTGGGCAGCTCTGGTGCCTTTCAGCACCCCTGGGATGTGGGGCATGGTTGAAATGCAGCTTTCACCATTTTCCAGCACTGGGACTGCGACCCCTCTGCCTTGTGTGAGGGCAGCACCAGAGCACCTGGGACATGCTGGGTGTCCCTGTGCAGCTGGGGGACAGGGCAGGGGCAGTGTGACAGGGCAGGGATTGTGTGACAGGGGCTGTGTGACAGGACAGGGGCTGTGTGACAGGAGGGACAGTATGACAGGGCAGGGGCTGTGTGACAGGACAGGGACAGTGTGACAGGGCAGGGATTGTGTGACAGGACAGGGACAATGTGACAGGGACAGTGTGACAGGGCAGGGATTGTGTGACAGGGCAGGGGTGGTGTGACAGGGGCTGTGTGACAGGAGGGACAGTGTGACAGGGTAGGGATTGTGTGACAGGGCAGGAACAGTGTGACAGGAGGGACAGTGTGACAGGGCAGGGATTGTGTGACAGGACAGGGACAATGTGACAGGGACAGTGTGACAGGAGGGGCAGCGTGGCAGGGCAGGGACTGTGCTCTGCCAGGAGCACAGTGACATCCAGGAGAACAGATCCAGGTGTTGCTGTGGGATGCCAGCTGGAGGATGGGGTGAGCACAGCAGTGCCAGCTGCTGCCTGGCTGTGCCAGCTGCTGCCTGGCTGTGCCCTGTGTGCAGGGCAGCTGGCAGGTGACAGCCCTGCTGGGAGAGGTGCAGGCAGGCGTGAAGGGCACTGCTGGCCTGGGCTGCAGCCCGGGAGGGGCAGCACAGGAAGGTGGGCAGATGAGGCTGTGTTGATTCCTTGCCTTTTCCTCAGTGCCATCCACTTCTCCCCTTCAGCTCCATTTCTGTTTGGGTTTTTTTTCACGCTCCATCAGCTTTGTTTAGGATTCTCTGTTGGCTCTTGCTGCCAACCAGGCTTTGAGTCCCTGTGCATGGAAATGAAAGGATCTGGCAGTTCCCTTTGTCAGGACACCTGCTTGGAGGAAGCAGCTCCCTGCCAGCCCTCCCTCCCTGGGCTCTCCCAGGAGCAGAGCTGCTGCTTCCTGGCCAGACTGGGGCAAGTGTAGGACCATTAGAACACTAAGAGTAGCAATTCTTTTCTAACCATGCCATTGCAGCTTCAGCTTTAGTGTTCTGCCTTCTTCCCAGGTGGGATCTCTAAGTGTGAAATGCCTCAGTACGCCGTGTCACACCTCGGGCCACATCTGTTATTATGTGACTAAGCCAAATAGCTCCGAGCCACCTGCAGTTTTTACAGGTGAGGAGTTGGGAGGTTCCCTTGCAAAAACAGAAGCTCCCCCTCTCTGCCTGGGTGCCTCTGGCTCTGGATGTGCATCCCTCCCTTCCTGCCAGGGCAGCTGCTGAACATCCACGTCTTGCTCCCCTTTCCAAGCAGGAGTTGTAGGTGGAACTGGGGAAGCCCCTGTGGATTTGTCAGCCGGGGCTGCACACCCTGCAGGCAGCATCAGGAGTGAGCCCTGGATGAGTCCTACATCCAGCATTTTTTTTTTTTCCTGAAAAAAGAGCTGTTGGTTTCCTGTCTCAGGCCAAACTGGCTGATCCCAAACCCTTTTCCATATATCTGTGCTCATGTCTGACAGCAGAGAGAGGAGAGAACAGGGGAGTCAGAGAGGGCTGGTGCTCCACTGCTGGTGGCCAGGGCCTGGATCCTGGTTTGGGGAGAAGGATTCCCCTTCCCTGGGGCTGTTCTTCATCCCTGTGTTCTCCAGAGCTCACAGAAGCTCCTGCATGGAAGAGAAAGAGCCTTAAACCAGATTTTAGGGAGCACTGGGGAGAAAATAGAGGCGACTCATCTTTGTTCAGTTTCACAGCAAAGAGCAAGTGTTCCTTGTCCCCTGCACCAGGGACAGCAGGGGACAGGGGCTGCCCACAGGTAGGAGGTGCTGGCAGGAGGTGCCTGGTGAGGCTTCCTGCCACCAGCGTTGGTGTGGCACCGAGTGGCACAGCCTGGCTGTCCCCGTGCTCAGCGGCTGTGCTGGGGCAGCAGTGGCAGGGCTGAGCCCTCAGCCTGCTGTGGGCCTGATGCCATGTCACCCCTGCAGGTGACACCCTGTTCGTGGCTGGCTGTGGGAAGTTCTTCGAGGGCACCCCGGAGGAGATGTACAAGGCCCTGATTGAGATTTTGGGCAGCCTGGACCCCAGAACGGTACAAAGCTCTCCTTTTGTGCGAGTGAGCCAGCCCAAAGCAGCACACAAAGCAGAGAAACACCCCGAGGGTGCTGCTGAGAGGCTCTGGTGTGTGCAAGGAATGGATGCTGTGGTGCTGGAGAGCTGCAGTGCCCTGGAATGGACTGGCCTGCCCCAAATGTGTTTGTGCTTTGTGGGGAAGGAGCAGGGCTGGTTGTTAAAGGCTGCTGAGCTGGGACATGGGGCTTGTCCTGCCTGCTGAGCCCTGGCGCTTGTGCCTGTCTCCAGTGGGGGTGTTGGCTTGAGTGTGTTGTTCCTGGCAGTCCCCCTTGGTGTGCCCAGTGTGACAGGGCAGGGATTGTGTGACAGGAGTGCCCAGTGTCACTGTCCCTTCCTCTTCCCAGAGGGTTTACTGTGGCCACGAGTACACCATCAACAACCTCAAGTTTGCTCGACACGTGGAACCCAGGAACCCCAGCATCCAGGAGAAGCTGGCCTGGGCCAAGGTGAGCTGCTCTTCCTTTCCTGCACACAGAGCCTTGCTGAGGAGCTGGAGGAGAGGAGACCATGCTGGGGAGAGCAGGGGGAGTTAAGAGCCAGGAGCTGCAGGATGCTGTGTTGCAGGGGAGCAGGGTTTGGCTGTGCCCTCAGTTTGCTCTCTGAGGGAGAAGTTCCCTGCCTGGAAACTCCTGTTGTGTCCAGGACACCCCTGCTCCCCAGAATTCCTGGTGGAGCAGCCCTGTGTCCCTCTTGCAGGCCCAGTACGACAGTGGGGAGCCCACCATCCCCTCCACCATCGCCGAGGAGCTCACCTACAACCCCTTCATGAGAGTGAGGTAGGGGGCTGCTGCTGCTGCTGGGGGGCTGTGGGAGGGAGGAGCTGTCCCAGTGCCTCCCACATCCCTGTCTGGGTGCCTCCAAGGCTCTCACTGGCTGTCCTGGCAGAAGGCTCCTGGATTTGGGGGTTGTGCTGAGCACCATTCCCTGACTCAGGAGGCAGAACAGCCTTTGGTGTGTCCTGTTCCTTCACCCAGCAGATGCTGCTGGGGCACAAAAGTGCCATTTCCTCCTGAGCTTTGAAACCAGGCTGAGAGCTGTGCCAAAGCCCAGTCTTTGCTGTTGAACCAGCCTGGAAGCCTGACCCTGGTGCCTGCCCAGCTGGGGTTCCATCCTGACCCTGCTCTTCCCTCCTGGCAGGGAGAAGTCAGTCCAGGAGCACGCTGGGGAGAGCGACCCTGTGCGGGTCATGGGGGCCATCAGGAAAGAGAAGGACAACTTCAGAGTGCCCAAGGACTGAGCCCTGCCTGCATCACTTCAGTCATCACTGTCACTTCAAGTGTCACTTAGACCTTCCAGATGTTTTAGGCGTCAAATCTTCTGTCGTGGTTGAGACAAGTTTTCTTTAGGTTTTTTGTTTTAATTAAGAAAAGAAAAAAAGCACTTTGCCCTTGTTGAGATGTTCTACAGCATATTTATATTATGATGAAGAATATTTATCCTCCTCTTGCTCTCTCAAGCTGTCACGTGTCACCTGCAGATCATTGTGCAAGTGCTGGTGTGAGACTCGAGGCTGGGCAGGGTCAAACCTGGAGGTTTGGGAAGAAGCTCCTGTCCTTTCTCTGGGAGCCTGCTGTGGATGCAGAAGGTGGGACTGAGATCTCTCTGTGTGAAGCAGAGACCAAACACAAGAGCTGAAGATTCCAATGTTTCCTCCTTGCTGCTTCTTCAACATTCTATATCCTCCTGGCTCCACTAAAACCAGTTCCAGGGACAGACCTGCTGTGCCAGTGCTGCTTCAGGGTGTCACCTGGGAGCTCCACGGGCTGCTCTGGCTCTGGGAGTGGCTCTGGGGCCACCCAGCTGCTCTCTTGTCCCCAGGCTTTGCTGTGCTTGCACCCTTTGAGTCCCGAGGCTGTTGCATGAACCTGCTCCCTGCTCTCCCCTGTGCCCTGTGTGCCAGCCCTCAAACCAGCCAGGGCTTTGGCTGCTGGCTCAGAATGCAGGACCTGCCACTCCTGGTGAGTGACTGTCCCCCTGAGCTGTGGTGACACTCCTGCAGCAGGCTGGGGCCTGGCAGTGACAGGCAGCTGAGCAGCTGTTACCTGTCCCCAGGTGAGCAGGGATGTGGGGTGGCACCAGGTGTCCATTTGCTTTAAAATGCTGAATTTTATGTAGTTCAGAGAGAAAAGTGGTACCTGAAGCTGTGGTGTCCCCTGGAACGCTGTGCTGCCACAGCTGAGTGTGACTGTCCTGCTGAGTGTGACTGTCCTGGGGGCTGGGCAGAGGGGAAATAAAGAACGGCTGGAAGCAGAGGTCGTTAACTCACACATTTAATGATTTCTTGGGTTTGGAGTAGAGATTGAAGTCAGCTCTGCCTGATCCTGGGGTGATTGGGTGGCATTGTGGGGACCCCAGGGCTTTAGTGGCAGCTGTATTTTTGTGAAAGGGGAACAGAGAGGGTTCAGCCCTGGTTTTGCTGCCTGTGAGTGCCAGTCCCTCCTCACAAGTGGCATTTGGGCAAGGACAAGAGGGACATGGAGGGGCTGGAGCGTGGCCAGGGAAGGGAACAGGGCTGGAGCCCCAGGAGGGGCTGAGGGAGCTGGGAAGGGGCTGGAGAATTCCTGAGGGAGCTGGGAAGGGGCTCAGCCAGGAGAAAAATGGGATCAGGAGGAATTTCAGTCCCTGCACAACTCCTGCCAGGAGGGGACAGCCGGGGGGTCGGGCTGTGCTCCAGGGAACAGGGACAGGAGCAGAGGGAACGGCCTCAGGCTGGGCCAGGGCAGCTCAGGGTGGATTTTGGGAGAATTTCCTCCTGGAGGGGCTGCCCAGCCCTGGCCCAGCTGCCCAGGCAGGGGTGGGGTCCCCATCCCTGAGGGGATTGAACAGCCCTGTGCATGTGGCACTTGGGGACGTGGGACAGCAGTGACTTTGGTTTTTGGGGAAATGGTTGCATCCCATCTCAGAGGACTTTTCCAACCTCACCATTTCCATGCGGGGGCCATGGTGAGCCCTGCCCCAGCGCTGGTGTCGGCTGGGGAAGCTCGGCTCGGCTCGGCTCGGCTCGGCTCAGCTCCCTGTGCCTTTGGGGCTGGGAGCCTGTCCCTGGAGCAGGGACCCTGCCGGACCCCCCTGCAGGAGTTCTGGTGTCCGGCACCGCTCTGCACCTTCTCCCCGCGCTGCTGCTTCCCTCCAGTGCCACCAACCAGTGCCACCAACCAGTGCCACCAACCAGTGCCAGCAGTGCCAGCACCCCCCTCCCTCCCCGCCGGCCCTGGGGGCAGGGGCTGATTTTGGGCACAGGGCTGGGGGTCCCCCTGGTCCCTCCAGCCCGGGGGTGTCAGGATGCGGGGCGGGCCCGCAGGGTGGCACCGGGGCTGTCGCTGTCGCTGTCGCCGCAGTGTCCGGGCCGCGCGCGCTCCGCCCGCCCCACGCTGCGTGACCCGCCCCGCACACGGCGGGGACCGCCCCGGGGGTGGCGCTGGGGACACGCCGGGGTCCCGCAGCCCCTCCGCGTGTCCCCGGGGCCATGAAGGTGAAGGTGATCTCGGTGCTGGAGGACAACTACATGTACCTGGTGATCGAGGAGAGCACCCGGCACGCCGTGGCCGTGGACGCCGCGGTCCCCAAGAGGGTGAGCGGGTCGCGGGGGGTGGCGCTGGCGGTGTCCCCGTGTCGGGGTATCCCCGGGCAGGACACAGCCCTGGCTGTGGGCTGGGACCCCTGCTCTGCCCTGCGGACCCCGCAGCGAGCGGGGTCACCCCAAAACCAGCGCTCTGCAGCGGCCACCCCACCCCAGCCCCCCTTCCCCGGACCCCCGTGTCGCCGTGCCTGGTGTCCCTGGTGCCACCCCTCTGCTGTCGCGGGTTTTCAGCGTTTGCTGCCGACTCGGGCATTTCCTTCCTCCCGCAGCCCCGGAGTTCCCTCGGCATCCGGAGCCTCCTGGCAGCCGTGCCGGGGCTGGCAGTGCCCGGTGGCCCTCGCTCTGCTCTGTGCCTTCCCTAAAAAAAGCACCGGCCCGAAATGCCCCCATGGCCCTGCTCCAGGCGGGGTCACGCCCGTGTCCCACCCTCAGCCTGTGGCTCCTCAGGGTGTCCTTTAGGGGGATTCCCCTGCCTGCTGGCACAGGGGACAGGTCACTGTGTGGGTGTGTGTGTGTGGGTCACCTCCCCTGCCCTCCCACCCTGCTCTGGTCCTTTTCAGCTGCTGGAGATCATCAGGAAGGAGGACGTGGTGCTCAGGGCCATCCTCACCACCCACCACCACTGGTAGGTGTGGCTGTGTCCCCATGGGGACAGTGCCCAATCCCAGTTCCATTCCCAGTCCCAGTCCTGATCCCATTCCCAGTCCCATTCCCAGTCCCATTCCCAGTCCCAATCCCAGTCCCATTCCCAGTCCCATTCCCAGTCCCAATCCCAGTCCCATTCCCAGTCCCAATCCCAGTCCCATTCCCTGTCCCAGTCCCATTCCCAGTCCCATTCCCAGTCCCATTCCCGTTCCCATTCCCAATCCCAGTCCCTGCTGTGCCCCCAGGGACCACGCCAGGGGCAATGAGGAGCTGGCGCGGCTCTTGCCAGGCCTGCAGGTGTTCGGGGCTGACGAGCGCATCGGGGCCCTCACGCACAGGGTCAGCCACGGCCAGGAGCTCTCGGTGCGTGCCCGGGGACACCGGGACCCCACAGGGCTCCTCTGCTCGGGGGGCTGGGGTGGGCCCTGCCGGGGGGCCAGGGAGGGGAGCGGGGTGCTCACACTGTCCCCAGTGGGGTGGTCACACTGTCCCCAGTGGCATGGTCACGCTGTCCCCAGTGAGGTTGGTCACACTGTCCCCAGTGGGATGCTCACACTGTCCCCAGTGGGATTGGTCACACTGTCCCCAGTGGGGTTGGTCACGCTGTCCCCAGTGAGGTTGGTCACACTGTCCCCAGTGAGGTTGGTCACACTGTCCCCAGTGGGGTGATCACGCTGTCCCCAATGGGGTGGTCACACTGTCCCCAGTGGGGTGGTCACACTGTCCCCAGTGGCATGGTCACGCTGTCCCCAGTGAGGTTGGTCACACTGTCCCCAGTGGGATGCTCACACTGTCCCCAGTGGGATTGGTCACACTGTCCCCAGTGGGGTTGGTCACACTGTCCCCAGCGGGGTTGGTCATGCTGTCCCCAGTGAGGTTGGTCACACTGTCCCCAGTGGGGTGATCACGCTGTCCCCAATGGGGTGGTCACACTGTCCCCAGTGGGATGGTCACACTGTCCCCAAATGGGATGGTCACACTGTCCCCAGTGGGGTTGGTCACACTGTCCCCAGCGGGGTTGGTCATGCTGTCCCCAGTGAGGTTGGTCACACTGTCCCCAGTGGGATGGTCATGCTGTCCCCAATGGGATGGTCATGCTGTCCCCAATGGGATGGTCACACTGTCCCCAGCGGGGTTGGTGCTGCTGGGCCGTGCTCAGCTCTTGGTCCTGGGGTGGGTGGGTGCAGATGTGGCCCCACAGATTCCAGGCTGGCATGGAGGAGGAGCCTCATCCCAATCCCAGCCTGTTTGGGGTTGTGCTGGAGGCTCCCACCCTCTCCTGGGTCCCAAATGCCATCGGAGCAGACAGAGCTGGACCCCCCCAAAGTCCCTTCAGATCTGTCACCTGCTGGGCCCCAGGCAGGCGAGGGGAGGTCTGGGGGGTGTGTTTGTCCCCCTCAGGGGCACCCTGACCCTCTGTCCCCCCAGTTCGGGGCCATCAGGGTGAGGTGTCTCTTCACCCCGTGCCACACCTCGGGCCACATGTGCTACTTCATGTGGGAGGACGATTCCCCGGATGCTCCAGCTCTTTTCTCAGGTACCCCCCTGCCCCCGTGGCTTTTGGGGACACACTCCCTGTGTGCCGCCTGTCCCCACACTCAGCGCTGCTGGGGTGACCCTGGCACCCCCACCCCTGGCCCTGGGGTCCCTCGGTGCCCACCCCTGTCCCACAGGTGACACCCTGTTCGTGGGGGGCTGCGGGCAGTTCTTCGAGGGCACGGCGGAGCAGATGCACACCAACCTCACCCAGATCCTGGGGACCCTGCCCAAGGACACGGTGAGTGCCCTCCCCTCCCCTCCCTGGGGGGCTCCTGGGGCCGGGAGGGGGCTCAGGGCAGGGATTCCAGGCTGGGACCTGCCCTGGGAGCGGGTCTGATGCTGGCTGCCTCCTGCAGAAGGTTTTCTGTGGCCACGAATGCACCGTCAGAAACCTCAAATTCGCCTTGAAGGTGGAGCCAGAGAATGAAATGGTGAAGGAGAAGCTGGCGTGGGCCAAAGTGAGTGGCGGTGCCCCCTGTGCCAGGGTGGGGAGCGGGGCATGGGATGGCAGTGGCTTTGGACACCTCTGTCCCCTGGCAGCAGAGGGATGACGAGGACCTGCCCACGGTGCCCTCCACGCTGCACGAGGAGTTCCTCTACAACCCCTTCCTGCGGGTCACGTAAGCACTGCTGGGCTCCTGCCCCAAGCCCCCTCCTCTTCCTCTCCTGCACCATCCCCGTTCCCAAACCCTGCTGGGAAATCCCAGCCCAGGGTGAGGGGAGGCTGCCCGGACACGGGGTCACCCCAGCACAGGGTGGGGGTGCCCTGCTGTCCCCTCCTGTCCCCAGGGCACAGCAGGGCTGTCCCCTTGCAGGGAGGAGGCCGTGCAGAGGTTCACGGGCAGGACGGAGCCCGTGGAGGTGCTGAGGGCTCTGCGCTCCCACAGGGACAACTTCAAGAAGCCCAAGGAGAGGCCCAACCCCCAGGCCGTGCTGGCCTTCGACTGGGGGCTCTTCGACCCCTTCCTGGAGAAGAAGTGACACCCCCGTGGTGCCAGGGCTCCCTCCCGGCCGGGCCCAGCCCGGCTTGGCTCCAGCTGGGCTGGATTTTGTCTTTAGGCTGCTTGTGTGAGGCTGCTCTGCTCTGCTCTGCTCCCCTCGGGGGTCCCTTTGGAGAGCCCAGGCTGTGGGACCCCCCCTCGGTGCTGGGGTGCTGGCAGAGGGTCAGGAGGTGGCTTGGAGCAGGGGACAGTCCCAGTTTTGGGGAGCTGCCATGGAAGGGAGCCAGGGATGCTCAGGGATTGTGGTGCTGTGCCCCACGGAGCACCAGGCTCCTGTGCCTGCCCTGCATCCCAATCCAGGGCTGCTGTGCTGGTGGCTTTGGGACTCCTGGGAGCCCCCACGGCCCCTCTGGCCCCGTGTCCTGTGTGAGGGACACTTGGGTCCCCCCACGGGACACTGGGAAGTGACTGGTGGCACTGGTGGCACCGGTACCCACCCAACCCCAGCCCTGTGCTGACAAACCTCTCAGCACAGCAGGGTTTGGGAGGGTTCCCCCTCTTTTTTCCAGTAGGTCCCACAGGGATTTCTGCAGGGGTTCATGGCCCAGTCGCTGCCCTGGGGAGCCCTTGGCCCCGTGGGGTGTCCAGGAGGAGCCAGGGTCTGCCCAGGAGGGATTTCCCAAGCTGGGACAGAGCTTAGGCAGCCAAGAACAAAGTTCTGCCAGGCATCCCTTTCTGCATTTTGCTTTTTCCAAGATAAAAACTGGAAAACACTCGGTGCCAACTCCATGGACACTGCCTTGTCAAGAGCCAGGGAGCAGCTGGGGCTCCCAGGCCTCCCCAGCCTTCACTTTGTGCAAAACCAGGGCTGTGTTTTATTTGTCTGAGAAAGGAACAGAGTTTTATTTGCAGGTGTGGGGAGGCACTTCACACCTGTGAAGTCATTCCTTTTTTTTTTTTTTTTTGTGGAGAAAATGAGGGTTTGATGGCAGCTCCCAGCACTGGGACAGAGTTGATTTCAGGGATTTTCATGTGTGGACTGTGAATTTCTTTGTTGCCACTGGAGTCTGGTTTGGGGCTTTTTCCTGTGCTACAAATTAAGGGTTTGGGGTTTTTTTTTCCATTTAATAAATTATAGTTTGGATTTACTTTGCATGGAAGGGGAAGGATTTATCCAGCTGCAAAAGCTCCCTTGGTGCCACGGCCTGCATTCCTCAGTTCCCATGAAATGCTGGAGTCGTGGATGTCCCCTCTGGGATTTCATTTATCCTGGGAGCAGGGCTGGCCCTGGGGGTGTGAACCTGCTCCTCACCTCAGAGCTGGGACAAATTCCAGCTGTTCTGGTGGCAGAGCAGGGAGCCCAGGGTGGCTGCAGTGGCCTGGGAGCTGGGGAGGTGAGCGAGTGCAGAGCCCTGTGATTTCATTTCCAGCTAATTCAGCCTCCCTGACTGTGCATTTCTGGGCTGATGTGGTGTGCCCTGCACTGAGCCCAGCCTGGAGCCCCTCCCTGGCCAGCTCCTGCTTCAGCCAAACCCCTGCATGGCAAAGGGAATTCTCTGGAAGCACCAGTGTGCTCCTCAGGAAGGAGGGGAGGGGGCAGCAGGGGGAGGTTGATGCCTTGGAACACTGTGAGGTCGTGAATGATCAGCAACAGCTGAAAAATGGAAAGCTTTTAATTAAAAACATGAAAATTCAGCATTTGCTCTGTGGATTCATTGGAAGAAAGTGCAGAGGAGGCTTTGGTTCCTGCCAGCCCCAAGGTCAGGAATTATTCTGTGGTAATTTCAGGATGTTATCCAGCACTAAGTGCCTGTTTTGTCTGGATTTAGGGATATTATCCCTCAGTAAGTGGCTGCTGAGGGTGGGTGAATGTGACAATTCTCTGACTCCCTGCTGAGTGTTCAGGAAGAAAACACAGAGAAGGAATTGCCCTTGGTATAAATTATTATAATTTAAGGAAAAGGAATCCCAGCATTCACTCCAGCCCCAGGGCGGATCCCAGGCTTTGGATCCCCTCTCTGAGGGCACAGACCCTGCAGGGCAGTGAGAGGGAGAACTCCAGGCCTGGAATGAGACCATTTCTAATGGAATGAGGCTGTTCCAGCAGAGGCAGGCACAGAACTGAGTGCTGTGACAATCCAGCAAGGCCTGGAGGAAGGAAATTGGGCTGTGGCACAAAGCTCAGCCTGGAGCTGACTCTGAATCCTTGAGCTCCTCAGTTCTGGCAGGACTGGGGCTGGTGGAGCAGTGCAGGGGCTGTCCCATCAGCCCGGGATGTGTTTCTGCCTCTCCTGCTGTGTCCCTGTCACACTTTGGGGTTATTGCCATCACCTCTCCCTCCAGCTGGAGGAACCAGCAGTGCCAGGCACTGTCCCAGAGGCAGGAGCTGCACAGAGCCCCTGGAGGAGCAGCAGTGTGAGTTCAGAAGGCACTGAGGGTCTCCTGGGCTGGGCAGCCCTCACCACTTGATGCTGAGGGCAGAGCTGGCTCTCTCCACAGCGTGGTACTGAGTGTGCAGCACCTGCAGAGCCCTCTCTGAGCCCCAGCCCCCCAGCCAGTGCTCGTAGAGCTCCCTCACAGCCTGGTTTTCCTCTGGAATCTCAGCCCTCAGGGAGTCATACAACCTCTCCACCTGCTGCAGCTCCTCCTTGCTGGATTCTCCCTCCAGTTTGATCTGCCCTCCTCCATTCAAACAGCCTGGGGGGGGAGGGAAAAAAAAAGGCATGAAGAATTTCAGCTGGGAAAACATCCTCAGAAATTCCAGGTCATTTATCCTGCTCCTGCAAACAGCTGCAGCAATGAAAACAGCTCAGGGATGGAGGTTCAGCCCCAGTTATCTGGCAGCAGCAGGGCCACAGGGCAGGGAGATGCTGGGCTGGCTCCAGCTGGGGCTCTGCCAGCTCTTATCTCCTGCCCCCAGCAGGGAGCCTGAGCCCAGCCCAGGTGAGCCCAGCCTTGGAGACACAGCTGGAGGAGAGGGAAAAGTGCCTGGGATGAGTCCTGGGAGCTGGGAGGCTCCCAGAGCTGTGTGGATCCTTGGGAAGGAGCAGCTCCAAGAGGCAGAGGGGCCCTCAGTGGGCTCAGGCTGCCCCTGCTCCCAAGGGAGCCAGCAAAAGGAAAATGGAATCAAATATTAAACATTTCTCCACCAGCCACAGCAGCATTTTCTGTAAGTGTGATGGTCAGGCCTGGGCAATTTCAGGAGGAAAATCCCCTCAGGTACCAGAGCTCAGGAAATCCTCCTTAAAAGCAATTAGTTAATTAATGGTGCAAATGTTGTGTGATGGAATTCAGCTGCAATTCTTTAAATCCTGAGGAATTACTGGCTCAGAGGTAGGGAGATCCCCCTCAGTGCTGTGATGGGGTGGCTGTCACAGCCCAAGGGGGTGAGAAATCTCCCATTCCTCCTGTCTGGAATGCCCTGGAGCTCCCCCCAGGCTGGATTTGAGAGCAGCCTCACCTGAGGGACAGGCCATCACCTCCACGTAGTGATAGGGGCACTTCCCTCTCTTCAGCTTCTGCACCAGGTTCTGGATGTTCCTGAACCCATAGGCCAGGGCAAAGTGCAGCAGCACCTCTCCATCCCTCTCCAGGGTCACCTCCTGGAAGTCCTTGTTCCTGAGGGAGCAGAGCACAGCAAGTGGCTTCTCCAAATGAGTTTCTGTTTTAAGCTTCAAAGGGCCCTGTGCAAAACCCAAATTCCTTGTGAGTCTCACTGAAGAGCTGTCCTAGTTCTGTGCCATCCAAGGGAAACAGGAAGGAATTCCTTCCAGAGCCTTCCAGGGTTGCTGGAGCCACCTGAGCAGAGTTTGCTGAAGGATATCTGTGCTGGAGAAAGCCTGAAAAGCTCAGCACAGGGAGCCCCTCCCTGACAGACCTGAGTTCCTTCAGCCATCATCAACGGAGCCCCTCAGGGGATTTTTGACTTCTGCTGGATCATAAAACACGGGAACAAACCCTGACTGAGCATTCCAGATTTCTGAGGTTAGTGGGAATACCTGGTCATGATAAAAAAAAAAAGTAAGTAACTTGATTTTTATCAAGATTTTGAGACTGTTTTTTCTGCTTCCTAAACCAGGGAATCCTAAACACAAAAATTGCTCATTAGGGATATAATTAATTCCAAAGGATACATTAAATTAGAACTGGGAAGCCAGAAGGAATCTCAGGTGGATGAGCCTCAATGCCCAAACTCAGGTGATTTATTTTGTGTCTCACTGCAGTTAAACAGAGCCCCAAAGCCCTCCCACAAGGTTTTCTGGGATCAATAATCAGTGACAAATCTCCCTGATTGGCCTGATCCAAGGTGAGGAATCCCAGCTCCGTGAGAGCTTTGCCTTCTTAATCACTCTAAAATTTTATAATTATTCTACAAGTTACCAGTGGGAGAATCCACCAGGCCAAACTCCAGGTGTGTGGCTGGGGAAGGGGCTGGAATTCTCCCTGGAATTCTCCCTGCCTGCCTGGAATTGGCTGATTTATTGCTGAGCAGCTGCGGGAGGGAACAGCCCGGAAGCGAACTTTAACATCGGAAAAAAAATAATAAAAAAAAAAGGAGAGAACTCCTGAAAAAAAAAAACAACAAAAAACCCCGAGTTTTGTGTGGGATTTGAGCTCCTTACTTGAGAGGTTTGTAGTGGATGGAGGCCCCGTGGATGCCGAAGAGCTCCCGGGCAGCGTGGCTGAAGATGTGCTCCAGGAAGCCGCCCGAGCCCCCGCCGCGGTGCGAGCGCAGCTCCTCCGCAGCCCCGCCGAGCCTGCGGGCACAGCAGCAGCACCTTTAGGGCCTCTGGGGCCACAGCAGCAGCACCTTCAGGGCTTCTGGGGGCACACAAAGCTCCAGGGGCTGCCCCAGGACAGTGGCAGCAGCCGAACTGCAGCTTGCCCTGAGCTCCAGCTGCTCCCGTTCTCCCGGGAGCGGCGGCGTGCGGCACAGCGTGTCCCTGCGGCCCTGGAGTGTCCCAGGCCAGGCTGGACAGGGCCTGGAGCAGCCTGGGATGGTGCAAGGTGTTGGGGTTGGATGGTTTTAAAGTCCTTCCCAGCCAAACCATTCCAGGATTCTGCAATGAATGCTCATGAATTGATGGATGAGCCAGGGAGGTGCCAGGAGCTCGGGATGGTCCCTTGCCCTGAAGCACAGGCAGCTCTGGGTGCTCAGTGCAGAGCCAGACCCCAAAACCTGCTCCCACCCCACCCCAGCGTGTGCAGCTGGCCCTGGAGCAGAATTTCCTCCTCAGTTCAACAGCCCCAGTCCCATCTGACACGTCCTAAATGTCATTTTTCCACCAACAGCCTCCTGCAGATCAACTGGGTGACCTAAATATTTGTTATTTCTGCTTTAATTCTGGGATCTTTGCAGTGGCTCTGCTAAGGAGGAGCAACAGCTTCTGCTTCAGGAAATTTTTAGCACTGGGACAGATTCTTGTCCTTCCCAAAGGCTGCAGCAGCTTTTTGTGGGATGAAAGGAGCTGGAGTGATTCTCCAGTGGAAATTCACCATATTCTGACATGAAATATTTTAACTCCCAATTGTTCTGGTTCAAGTGACACAGGAAACCAAACCAAGGGCAAACACACTTGTGTAAAACAGCAGGAAAAGGGGAATTCTGAACTCTCTGAATCCTGGAGGAAAGGGAGCAGGAAAATCTGAACTCCCTAAATCCTGGAGGAAAGAGAACAGGAAAAGGGGAATTCTGAACTCTCTGAATCTTGGAAGAAAGAGAACAAAGAAAGGGGAATTCTGAATCTTGGAGGAAAGAGAACAAAGAAAGGGGAATTCAGAACTCCCTAAATCCTGGAGAAAAGGGAACAGGGAAATTCTGAACTTTCTAAATCCTGGAGGAAAGGGAAGAGGGAAGGGGAATTCTGAACTCCCTAAATCCTGGAGGAAAGGGAACATGACTGAAATGGGATTTTGCTCTTACACAGTGTCCAGGGGAGAAGGATCTACATCTGACAGGGACACTCCTTCTTGCTCCAGCAGCTTCAGCACTTCTCCTAGAGCAGAACCAGGCACAAGGAGTTCTTATTTTTGGGATACAGGAAAACAAACCCCACAGAGCAGTCCCTGAACTGCACCTGCATTTCACCAGGGCATGATTTGCACTATTAAAGGTAAATACAGCCAGGGAACACTGCAAGGCTCCCAGAATGTGCTGGAACTGGGAATCTCCTGTGGCTCTGCTTACCTGTGGTGATGACACAATCCACATCCCTGCTCTGGTATTCCTGGTTGAAGAAGTCTGGCCTGGAGGCCTCCAGCTTTTTGTCATAGCAGGGCATGACTGTGACGTGGTAGATCCTGTCAGGGGGCAGGTGCTGCAAGGGAGACAAGGCTGGGGCAGCCAGGGCAGCCAAAATCCCCCTGCCCTCAGGGAGGGCATTCCAGGAGCAAAGCAGTGGGGAAAATAATGCCACTGTGTCCCTGGAATGGTCCCCACCGTGACTGAGTATCTGTGTATTTAAATATTTATGAGTAAATGAAATGATTTCTCTCCTAAAGCCAATTTCAGCTGCAGTCAGTGTCAGCAGTTATGGACCTTCAGGGGTTTCATGGAATCCTGGGATGGGTTGGGTTGGGAGGGACCTTAAAGCCCACCCAGTTCCAATTTTAGGGACACCTTCCACTGTCCCAGGGTGAGCCAGCCTGGTCCTGGACACTTCCAGGGATCCAGAGCAGCCACAGCTTCTCTGGGAATCTGTGCCAGGGCCTGCCCACCCTCCCAGCCAGGAATTCCTTCCCAACATCCCATCTGACCCTGTCCTCTGGGAGTTTAAATCCTTTCCCTTGTCCTGCCCTTTAAAAAATTCCTCCCCCTCCTTTTTCCTTTCCTCCCCTCTCTCCAGGCTCATTGTGTGACTGAACTTTGGGACAGTCTGGAATTCCTTATAAAAAATCCTTCCCCTCCTTGTTCCAAGCTTTCCTCCTCTCCCTCCAGGCTCACTGTGTGACTGAATTTTGGGACAGTCTGGAATCCCTTACAAAAGTCCTTCTCCCTCCTTGTTCCAAGCTTTCCTCCCCTCCCTCCAGGCTCACTGTGTGACTGAATTTTGGGACAGTCTGGCATCCCCGTGGGGGTTAAACCCCTTTAACTTGTGCTCAGCCCAGAGAGCAGGAAAGCCCACACTTGCCTAAACCCTTGAGGAAGGTGGTCAGCTTCTGGGCTGTCTCCAGCAGCCCCAGTTTGCACCTTGCAGCCAGGGAGGCTCTGGACTGGGGGGAGACAGAAACCACCACCAGCTTCTGCTCGTGGGCAGCAGCAGCCTGGAAAAAAACCCAAAAACCCCAAAGTGGCAGAGCTGGCAGCACCACAGAGCTCACCCCGAGGCAGGAACCAACACCAACCCCTTGAAAAATGAGAATAAACCCCAGGAGTGTAGTGGGATCCCTCAGGAATTCCCTTTTCCTGTGGATTCTCCCCCTTTTCCTGCAGGGACCCACCTTGTTGAGAGCCAGCACCTTGCAGAGCTCCCCGTGGCTCTGCTGGCTCACCAGGACACTCTCAGCTGAGGTGATGCAGCCACTGCAGGCCAGGCAATCATTCAGGCTGATTTTGGCCTTCTCCAGTTTTTGTGCTTCCCCATCCTACAAAAAAAAAACCCAAAAAACCCCAAAAACCCAGAGGTGGCTCAGTTCTGACCCCAGGATTTAAGGAGCAGTTTCCCCACTTTGCTACAAATAATGAAGATGTTGCTCTTTTGATATTCTTGGTTTATCATTTAAGAAAATCTTTCTTTTTAGTGAGATGAGGACAAAGGCACCTGAAGCTGGCTGCTTTTCATGGGATTATTTGGCACAGCAAGGGGGATCTCATCCCACACACTGGAAGGGAATATTTTCCTTTCCACCTGCCCTGAATAATTTGGTTTTCCCAAGAGATTCTCCTCTAATCATCACTCCTCAGTAAAGCCAGGAATAGAGCAGGAAATGAGGCACTATTAACATTTTAAAATAAGGAGCCAGACTCCTTTGCAAGTGCTGTGTCCTCCTTTTTCTAAATCAAAATCTGCCTCAAGTTCCAAGTTCCCTTCCTAGAGGAATTCCCAGCCTGGTTAACTGAGCAGTGCCAACTTTTTTAGGTGAAAACAGGAAAAACTCAGCCTGAATTCTGCAAGCTTCTGAATTCTTCAAGCTTTTCAAGAAATAATTTAAAATATTATTTTTTTAAAAGTCCAGCATGATTTATTAAAAATATCTTGGTTAAATCTCTGAGTGAGCACAAGGACATTGTCCCAACCAACCTGGAACTGTCAATCCTTAAATATTGATAAAATAAATCAACTTTTCAACCTGGAACTGCCAATCCTTAAATATTGATCAAATAAATCAACTTTTCAACCTGGAACTGCCAATCCTTAAGTATTGATAAAATAAATGAACTTTCCATCCTATCTGCTCTCTTAAGAAAACCATCACAAATTAATGGCAGGGTTTCAGAGAATCAAAAACTGGAATAAATTGGAATTACTGATTATAAAATGACTGCTTAGAAAATAATTTATAAATTAAAATGCTGTTAAATTAAAGTTTAATACAATCTCAGCTTATCTGCTCTTATATAAATAATCAGTAATTAATGCCAGTGTTTCAGAGCATAAAAGTGGCACAAAATTGGAATTATTGATTATAAATTAAAAAGAAAAAAGTACAAGAATGCTGACAGCATCTCTTTGAGGCAATAAACGAATGCAGCTAATTAAATTACTAAAGTACACTCATTTTTCTGGGTTTTTACACAGAACAAAGACCCCACATACCTGATTGACCTGGAAATAGCTCCCATCAGCTTCGATTCTGATCCTGGCTGCTGCTTTCCCAGGATTCTTGTCCACTCTGACAGGCTGGATGCACTCCTGAAAGGGCAGCAGAGCCTGGGGTGAGCTGGGCAAGGAAGGGGATTGATAACAATCAATACTGGGATTGATAACAATCAGTACTGGGGTTGATAACAATCAGTATTGGGATTGATAAAAAAAATCAATATGGGGATTGATAAAAATCAATATTGGGGTTGATAAAAAGAAATATTGGGATTGATAAAAATCAATAGTGGGGTTGATAAAAATCAATATTGGGGTTGATAAAAAGAAATATTGGGATTGATAAAAATCAAAGAAATATAGGGGATTGAATAAAAAAGAAATATAGGGGATTGAATAAATATTGAGAATTACATTTTTAAAAAAATAGGGGATAAAATAAAAAATAAGTATAGGGGATTGAATAAAGAATAAATATTGGAGATTTAATAAATATTGAGAATCACATTTTTAAAAATAGGGGATAAAATAAAAAATAAATATAGGGGATTGAATAAAAAAGAAATATGGGGGATTGAATAACAAATATAGAGATTGAATAAAGAATAAATATTGGGGATTAAATAAATATTGAGAATTACATTTTAAAAAATAGGGGATCAAATAAAAAATAAATATAGGGGATTGAATAAAAATAAGTATAGGGGATTGAATAAAGAATAAATATTTGGGATTAAATTTTTAAAAAAGAGGGGATAAAACACATAAAGACAGGGACTGAATAAAAAAGAAGAAGTGGGGGATGAGGAGCTCTGGGGCTGCCCTCCAGGCTGGGATTCCCCGTTTCCCTCAGCACTGCAGCAGGAACAGCTCAGCGTCACCCCAGCCCGGCTCTGCTCCTCCTGGGGAGCAGCCAGCCCCTTCCTCCTCCTCCTCCTCCTCCTCCTCCTCTGCCCACAGCCCAGCCCACCGAGGGAGGTGCCAGTGCCCAGCCCAGCTGGGGACAGGAGGGGCTCAGTGCCACGCTGCTCTGGTGGCCAGCCCAGCCCAGGGGTTTTTGTGGATTTGATCCCCTGTGATTCCGTGTCCTGCCTGTCCTCTGAGCACTCCGAGGTTCCCCTAAGGGGATGCCCCTGGCAGGGCTCAGAGCCCGGTCCTGCACTGCAAACACAAGCTGTTCTTTATTCCCTGAGGAATTCCCTCACACAGCCATCCCCACCGAGAATTCACCAGCTGGGCTTTGCTGGGCTCCTTGCACAGCCTCGGCTCAGCAAGGCTCTTCTGCAGAGCAGATACAGGGATAAACTCGGGGTGGGAACCTGGGTGTGAACCTGGGTGTGAAAAATCCTGGATATGAACCTGGGTGTGAATCTGGGTGTGAATCTGGGTGTGAATCCTGGATATGAATCGGGATATAAATCCTGGATACAAATCTGGGTATGAATCTGGATATAAATCTGGATATAAATCCTGCATATGAACTTGGGTGTGAATCGGGGTGTGAAAAATCCTGGATGTGAATCTGGGTATGAAAAATCCTGGAAACGAATCTGGGTATGAATCTGGATATAAATCCTGGATATGAACCTGGGTGTGAATCTGGGTGTGAACCTGGGTGTGAATCTGGATATGAAAAATCCTGGATATGAATCTGGGTATGAATCCTGGATACGAATCTGGGTACGAATCTGGATATAAATCTGGATATAAATCCTGGATATGAACCTGGGTGTGAATCTGGGTGTGAATCTGGGTGTGAAAAATCCTGGATGTGAATCTGGGTATGAATCCTGGATATGAATCTGGGTATGAATCTGGATATAAATCCTGGATATGAAAAATCCTGGAAATGAATCTGGATATAAATCCTGGATATGAACCTGGGTATGAATCTGGGTGTGAACCCGGGTGTGAACCTGGGTGTGAACCTGGATATGAAAAATCCTGGAAATGAATCTGGATATAAAACCTGGGTGTGAACCTGGGTATGAACCTGGGTGTGAACCTGGATATGAAAAATCCTGGAAATGAATCTGGATATAAATCCTGGATATGAATCTGGATATGAACCTGGATATGAAAAATCCTGGCTATGAATCTGGATCCAGAGCAGGACTGACATTTTGCTCTGTGCCCTGCCTGAGGATCCCTGCTCGCTGCTCACTCCCTGCCGAGCACTGTGCTCTCACTGCTGTCCTCTGGGGTGACCCCGCTGTGACCCCAATGTCCCAGTGACCCCAGAGTGATCCCGCAGTGACCCCACAGTGTCCCACAGTGTCCCAGTGACCCCACAGTGACACACAGTGTTCCAGAGACTCCAGAGTGATACTGCAGTGACCCCGCCGTGACCCCAATGTCCCAGTGACCCCAGAGAGATCCCACAGTGACCCCACAGTGTCCCAGTGACCCCAGAGTGACACACAGTGTTCCAGTGACCCCAGAGTGATCCCGCAGTGACCCCACAGTGTCCCACAGTGTCCCAGTGACCCCAGCGTGACACTTCCAGTGACCCCAGAGTGATCCCGCAGTGACCCCACAGTGTCCCAGTGACCCCAGAGTGACACACAGTGTCCCAGTGACCCCAGAGTGACACACAGTGTTCCAGGGACCCCAGAGTGATACTGCAGTGACCCCACAGTGACCCCAATGTCCCAGTGACCCCAGAGTGACACACAGTGACCCCATGGTGTCCCACAGTGATCCCGCAGTGACCCCACAGTGTCCCAGAGTGACCCACAGTGACTCACAGTGTCCCTGCAGTGATCCCATGGTGTCCCCATGGTGTCCCCGCAGTGACCCCAGTGTCCCAGTGATAGTGCAGTGACCCCAGTGTCCCAGTGACCCCAGAGTGATCCCGCAGTGACCCCACAGTGACTCACAGCGTCCCACAGTGTCCCTGCAGTGACCCCATGGTGTCCCCACAGTGACCCCACAGTGACACACAGTGACCCACAGTGACCCCACAGTGTCCCCACAGTGACCCCATGGTGTTCCCACAGTGACCCCACAGTGTCCCTGCAGTGACCCCAGTGTCCCGCAGTGTCCCCGCGGTGTCCCCGAGCCCTGCCCCGCGCTCTGAGGGAGGATCAGCTCCCATCCCTCCCTGTCCCCCCTCAGCAGCAGCGGCAGCGGTTCCACGGCCCGGGCCGGGTCCGTGCGGTGACACCGCGGGGCAAAGCTTGAGGGTGGCACCGCCGCCTCCCCTCAGGGTCCCTCCGCAGCGCCCGCCCCGCGGGCCCCCAGCGCCGCCACCGCCGGGGCGGCCCCACCTGCGAGGGGGCGATGAAATCGTCCAGCTCCGTCAGCTGCAGCACCCCGCTGAACCGCGCCGCCATGCCGCCGCAAAGCGAGCGCGATCGTCGTGACACGGGACTACAGCACCGCCGCAAAGCGAGCAGCAGCACTGTCGTAAAAGCGGCCGCCCCACCGCCGCAATTTTAATATAATATTTTTTATTTTTGCTCTGTAGATATCACCTTTTTGGAATAAACTAATAATATATAAAGCCTTTTGGCGTTCTAAGCAAATAAAAAGGTGCCGGAGCCAGGAAAATTCGGTGTAACTCCTCTTCTTTCACGTGCTGTGGGCTGGTGTGAATCTCCTGCCTCAAGGGGATCCCAAAATTAAATCCCGGCAAATGCCGGGGAAAGGCTGTGAGAAAAACAAACAAACAAACAAAAAAGCAATAATTATGTACAAACCGAGGTGAATTTCCTGCTGTGTGCGGGGTAAATCCCCGCAGCTGCTCGGCCCGGGTGCTGAGGGGTAATTAACCTCAGCAATTAGGGTGGGGAACATTTGGGGTTTGGGGAGGGTGGGACACAGGGATCTGCTCTGCTTTTTGGGACTGGGCTCTGCACGACCTGGCACCCGCTGCAGGTGACTCTGTACATACTTATTTATATTTATTTGCACTCATAGTCGTGCTTATATTTATATTTATGTGCGTATTTACACGTATATTTACACTTCTATCTACGTTTTACGTTTCTATCCGTACATATTTCCTGTTTCTGTTCCTATTTCTGTCCATTTCTGTCCCTATTTGTGTTTCTCCCCCGCGGGTTAAGCTGCTCTGTCCGTGCCCGGGTGCCAGCCTCGCTGTGCCAGGCTGGGCACGCCCCGAGCCCCTTCCCACATCTCCTTTTCCTGGGTTTTTTTGTGCTGGGAATGAGGAGTGAGGCGGTTCCAGCCGTGCTGGAGGGGGGCTGCAGCGTTTTGGGTGCCCCCAGCAGCTCTCCCTGCCTCGCCTGGGAACGGGGGGACAAAGAGAACTGCTGGGCCTGGGAACGGGGAGCCCTGGGGATCCGTGGGGGGGGATCCATGGGATGGGATCCATGGGGGGGGATCCATGGGATGGGGATGGGATGAGAAGAGGATGGGATGGGGTGGGATCCACGAGATGGGAATCCATGGGATGGGGTGAGAACCAGGGAATGGGATCCATGGGATGAGATCCATGAGATGGGGTGGGATCCATGGGATGGAATGGAATAGGATGGAATGGGGTGGGAACCATGGGGTGGGAAGGGATCCGCAGGGTGGGATCCATGAGATGGGGATGGGATGGGATCCATGGGGTGAGATCCATGGGATGGAATGGGGTGAGATCCATGGGAGGGGGTAGGAACCATGGAATGGGATCCATGGGGCGGAATTGAATAGGATGGGATCCATGGGGTGGGATCCATGGGATGGAATGGGATGAGATCCATGGGATGGTGTGAGAACCAGGGAATGGGATCCATGGGATGGAATTGAATAGGATGGGATGGGGTGGGATCCATGGGACAGAATGAAGTGGGATCCATGGGAAGGGATCCATGGGATAGAACGGGATGGGGTGGAATTGAATAGGATGGGATCCATGGGATGGGATCCATGGGATGGGGTGAGAACTAGGGAGTGGGATCCATGGATGGAATTGAATAGGATGGGATGGGGTGGGATCCATGGAATAGGATCCATGGGAAGGGGTGGGATGGGATCCTGAGCAGGAGGGGCTGGGGCACATTTCTGGGCACATTCCTGGGCACATTTCTGGGCACATTTCCGGGCTCTGCTGCTCCGCAGAGCCTGGCACAGAGGGGCAGCTCAGGTCACTGCAGTCCCTTTCCCCTTTTCCCCTCTCTTGCTCAGTCTGTTTGCTCTGCAGGGCTTGGAGCCTTCCCTGAGTGTGGTTTGGGGCTGGGGCAATGCAAACAGCACCGAGGGAGCCAAGGAAATCCCTTGTGTAAACCTGCAGGAGGGAACAGTGGGGCTGAATTCCAGCTGCAAACGGAGGTTTGATGCTGCTGGCCCTTCTGGGGGTGTCCCCTTTGTCCCTGGGACACAGGAGGGGCTGCGGGAGGGGTCAGCCAGGGCTGGGGTTAGAGGGGCTGGGGTGTTTGTGGGATTGCTCTGCAATTCCCAGAGCAGGGATCAATCAGGATTGGGATTGGGGTGTTTGTGGGATTGCTCAGCAGTGCCCACAGCAGGGATAAATCAGGATTGGGGTTAGAGGGGTTGGGGTGTTTGTATTTTTGTCCTGCAGGTCCCAGAGCAGGGGATCAGTCAGGATTGGGGTGTTTGATGGTAGGAAAAGATCTCTGACACCTCTGGCTTCCCTCTCTCCTCCTCCTTTGCTGCTAAAAATCCTGCTCAGGTGAGGGGCTGAGGCAGCTGAGGATGAGATCACAGAATCACTGAGGTTTGAAAAGGCATTTAAAAACCCAGCCATTCCCCCAGCACTGCCAGGGCCACCCCTCAAACCTGTCCCCAAGGCCACCCCTCAAACCTGTCCCCAAGGCCACCCCTCAAACCTGTCCCAAGATCACCCCTCAAACCTGTCCCAGGGCCAGCTCTGAAGTCCCTGCAGGGCTGTGACCCCAGCACCGCCCTGGGCAGCTGTGCCAGGGCTGCTCACCCCTCTGGGGGAGGAAATTCTTTATTAATCTCCAAATTAAACTTCCCCTGGTGCACCTGGAGGCCGTTTCCTGCTGTCCTGCCCCTGTTCCCTGGGACAGACAGACGTGGTGAAACCCAAACCCTCCAGGCTTGACCCCTCTGGCATTTCTGGGCGTGGGCTCAGCAGCTCCTTGGAGCCAAAATTTTGTTTCTGTTCCCGAATTCCCCGCTGGGAACGGCAGCCCTGAGCAAACAGAGTGACACAGCTCCTCGGTGAGGCAAATATTGTCCTGTGGGTAGGACAGCAGCCTCCCTGCTGGTGACATTTACAGAGGTTGTGTCACCCCCGGGGGCACGGGGCTGGGGTGGCCTCCTCATCCTCATCCTCACCCTGCCACAGCTCCGAGCAGGTTTGGGATTGGGGATGGGCAGGGGATGGTTGTAGCTGAGGCAGAGACAATCCTTTTAAAAACTGAGTTTTTTTTTAAACCTCCATTTCCACAAGGTTTGAAGCGGTTTTGTTGCAGCGCGCGCGCTTTTTATGCATTGCCACAAAACTCGTGAATTTGACTTCTCTCCTTGGGCAGGAGAGACAAAATGCTCATGGAAATAAAGCACTGCAGGTTTCTCTCGTTTCTCCTTCTTTCTTTCTCGTTTCTCTGGCGAGGACCTTGGCAGGAAATTCTTCCTGCACGGATGCTCTTCTCAAGGAGTCGCTGTGAAAGCTCCTGCACGAGCAGGACATCCCCACCCCATCCCTGCTGCAGCTCCCTCCCTCCTTCCCAGGGGAAAAATCCCGGTTTTTCAGGAGGAAAACCCAGGGTGAGGCGTTGGAAGCTGAAATGCAGGGAGCTCCCAGAACAAACAGCCGATTGTGGTGAAAAACCTGCGTTTGCATTGTGAGGAAATGGCATCCACGAGTCCTAAAAATCAAATCTGCACTATTGCACCGGGAGTCAGAGGTGAAGCAAAGCTAAAGGATTGCCAGGACTTATTTAAAAAACCCCGCAAATATATATCTATATATATATATAGATATATATATCTATTATATATATCTCTCTCTCTATATATATATATATAGATAGATATCTATATATATATAGAGAGAGATATAAGATATATAAGGTGAAACAAAGCTAAAGAATTGCCAGGACTTATTAAAAAAAAACCCTCAAATATATATACATATATACATATATATATATATATTTATAGAGAGAGATGTATATAAGATATATAAGGTGAAACAAAGCTAAAGAATTGCCAGGACATTTAAAAAAAACCCCCATCAAATATATCTATATATATATAGAAAGAGATATCTATATATGTACATAGATCTACGGGGGGTGCCCGGCTCCATCCCTTTTGTGCTCCCAGAGCCCAGGGAGTGCCCGGCTCCCGCTCCTATTCTCTGTGCTCCCGGAGCTCAAGGAGTGCCCGGCTCCATCCCCTCTGCGCTCCTGGATCCGGGGCAGTGCCCGGCTCCCGCTCCGTCCCCCCGGTGCTCCCGGGGCCGGGGCGTTCCCGGCTCCATCCCGGGATGCGGGGCCAGCGCCACGCCCCGGCGCTGCCGTCAAAAGGAGCCCGCGGTGCCCGAGCGTGCCAGGGACCGGCACGGGCACAGGTGAGCGGCACGGGTCCCCTCCGGGAGGCACGGCCACCAAACCGGGCCACCTCCTGGCCCTGGGTCACCTCCTGCCCCTCTGACACCCAGCTGTGCCACCTCCTGTCCCTCTGCCACCCCTCCGGGCCACCTCCTGTCCCTCTGCCACCTCCTGTCCCTCTGCCACCCGCCCTGGGTCACTTCCTCTTCCACTTCCACCTCCTGTCCCTTTGCCACCCCTCCGGGCCACCTCCTGTCCCTCTGCCACCTCCTGTCCCTCTGCCACCAGCCTGGGTCACTTCTTCTTCCACTTCCACCTCCTGTCCCTCTGCCACCCCTCCGGGCCACCTCCTGTCCCTCTGCCACCCACCCTGGGCCACCTCCTGTCCCTCTGCCACCTCCTGTCCCTCTGCCACCCCAGACCCAGCTCAGGGCGTGGTGCCTTCATTAACTCCAAATTCTCCCCCTGCTTTCCCAGACCCCCCAGGAGTTTTTCCCCATTTTTGGGGTTAATTTTGGGGTTTGTGAAGGGCGTTGGGGTGTTCAGATTTCCGCGTGACCTTTCCTCCTCTGAGTTTGGGGTTGGTATTTATTTATTTCTCTTTGGTTTTGTTTTTCTGAGCTGATTCCTGTGGTGTCCTGAAGACCTGTGCTGTTTTGGTTTTTATTTATTTATTCCTCTTTGATTTTTCCTTTCTGAACTGATTCCTGTGGTGTCCTGAAGACCTGTGCTGTTTTGGTTTTTATTTATTTATTCCTGTTTGGTTTTTCCTGGCTGAGCTGAGGTGGTTCCTGGAGACCTGTCCAGAAATGCCTCCCCTGTTCCAAGGGCTGGGATTCCTCCTGCTGCTGCTGGGTGAGTGTGCTGTGGAGGGAGGGCTGGCCCAGGGGGGTTTCCATACCCTCAGAAGGGGAAATTGTGCTGCCAGAGCACAAAATGTGACTTTGGTGTTTGCTCTAAATCCCCAGCCTTTCGTTGTCAGATTTGTGAGTGAAATATTTTAGTTTTTAGGGTGGGAAGGCCCCACTGGGGTTGATTCTCCTGCTGTCTGTTCAGAGCTGGGTGCTCCCTGTTCCTCTGCTGGGGTATCTGGAAAGCACTTAAGGAATAATCATAATTAAATCTAATTACCTCTGTATTCATTGAATAATAAATCCCAGCATGGTTTGGGTTGGGAGGGACCTTAAATCCCCTCCACTTCATGGGCAGGGATACCTTCCACCATCCCAGGCTGCTCCAGGCCCTGTCCAGGGACACTTCCAGGGATGGGAAATCCACTCCAGGGATGGGGAATCCATTCCGGGGATGGGGAATCCGTTCCAGGGATGGGGAATCCGTTCCAGGATTGGAAATCCATTCCGGGGATGGGGAATCCATTCCAGGGATGGAAATCCGTTCCAGGGATGGAAATCCATTCCTGGGATGGGGAATTAATTCCACGGATGGGAAATCCATTCCACAGATGGGGGAATCCTTTCCAGGGATGGGGAATCCATTCCAGGATTGGAAATCCATTCCAGGGATGGGGAATCCGTTCCAGGGATGGAAATCCATTCCTGGGATGGGGAATTAATTCCACGGATGGGAAATCCATTCCACAGATGGGGGAATCCTTTCCAGGGATGGGGAATCCATTCCAGGATTGGAAATCCGTTCCAGGGATGGGGAATTCATTCCTGGGACAGGGAATCCGTTCCAGGCCCTGCCCACCTGCCAGGGAACGATTCCCAATTCCCAGCATCCACCCAGCCCTGCCCTGGGCAGTGGGAGCCATTCCCTGGGCCCTGCCCCCGTTAGGGGAAGGTTCCTTTGGCTGTTAATTAGTGACTGCTCTGCATTAATTAACTGATTAAAAACGAGGTAACTGAGGAAGGCATTGTGCTAATGAAGGCAATGCAGGTGTTGTGCTCGTCCAAGCTGCTTTAGGACCCCTTTCCTAATGCAGGTTTTGGGTAATGGACTCATCCACAGCAGGAAAGCCACCCCTGCATCAGACCTGTGGAGTGCAGAGCCCCCTCTGTGTCCCCTCCCTGTCCCTGCCCTCGTCCCACTGCTATATAATATAAAATATTAAAATATATTTATTTGTATATGATATAATTTATTTTATATAGATAATACATTATTATATGCTATTATTATAATATATATTGTTGTATATACTGTATTATATATTATTATATTATATGTTATAGATAATATATAATAATATATAATACATTAATGTATTATGTACTATATATCAATAATATATTTTATATACTATATATTGATAATATATTTATATATTATACATAAATAATGTATTGATACATTAATATGCACTATTATAATATATACTATATTAATATATGCTAATATATACTATATTCTATATTACATTACATTCTGTATATATTAATATAATATATTCCATAGTAGCCTAAATTATAATATTTGTATTGTCTCACCCTTCACATGAGACTAAAAATAGAATAAAAATTTGAAAACACCTCTCAGTTACCTCAACTCTGAATCAGAAAAAGCCAGAATCCAGCAGAAAATGAACTCTGGAATCCTTCAGGGAGCTGAGGGGGCTGGGCTGGGGCTGGGAAGGAGCTCTGGGCTGGCTCTGATCCCAAATCTTGTCTTGCAGGGTGCCAGAAGGCTGCTGCTGCTGGGACAGAGCTGGTAAGGCAGATTTACACCAAAAATTCCAACGTGTGTGGTTAAAACCTTCCAGGGTGGCTTGGGCTGGGGGATGCAAAGATCAGGCGGTGGCAGCTCTCCTTGCTCTGGGAGCACAGCAGAGCTTGGCTGAGCGTGGGATGGGCTGGCACTGCCCTGGCACTGCCCTGGCACCCCGATGGGCACGGGGCCAGGAGCTGACCTGCAGCTCGGGGTTTGGGTTCAGTGTGCTTGGGGTTTGGGGTTCAGTGTGCTCGGGGTTTGGGGTTCAGTGTGCTCAGGGTTTGGGGTTTGGGTGTGCTCAGGGTTTGGGTTCAGTGTGCTCGGGGTTTGGGGTTTGGGGTTCAGTGTGCCCTGGATTTGGGGTTTGGGGTTCAGTGTGCTCAGGGTTTGGGGTGCAGTGTGCTCAGGGTTTGGGGTGCAGTGTGCTCGAGGTTTGGGGTTCAGTGTGCTCAGGGTTTGGGGTTCAGTGTGCTCGAGGTTTGGGGTTCAGTGTGCTCGGGGTTTGGGGTTTGGGTGTGCTCAGGGTTTGGGGTTCGGTGTGCTCGGGGGTGCTCGGGATTTGGGATTTGGGTGTGCTCAGGGTTTGGGGTTCGGTGTGCTCAGGGTTTGGGGTTCAGTGTGCTCAGGATTTGGGGTTTCAGTGTGCTCTGGATTTGGGATTTGGATGTCCTCAGGATTTGGGGTTTCAGTGTCCTCAGGATTTGGGGTTTCATTGTGCCCAGGATTTGGGGTTTGGGTGTGCTCAGGGTTTGGGGTTTCAGTGTTCCCAGGTCCCATCCCATTCCAAAGGGCTCCCACCATCTGTGCAGTGCTCACAAATAATCTCAGAGCTGCATTTTAACTCCATCTCTTTTCTCTCCCTCCTGGTGCAGTGCTCCAGCTCCCCTGTCAATGGTGAGTTCCTTTCCAAATATTTGTCAGGAAAGCTCAGAGAGGGCTCTGTGTGCCAAATCCTCTCACAATTCCTTACCTTTGTCTCTTTTTTTCCTTCTGGGGCTCAGAATCTGCCGTGTGTGCCTCAGTGCAGAGGTAGGTGAACCATCCCCAGGGATTGTGGCATTTCCTTGGGAGGGGTTCTGCTTTCTTGGGGTGACCACATCCCTCTGAGCCCAGATTTTGGGATTTTTCCCCCGGGGTTGCCCGTGGGCAGGGAGGGCTCTGGTTGCACTTGTTCAAACAGTGAAGGGAAAGTGCCCTGCTGGGGATTTGTGCCTGGGAAGGACAAAGAAAGGCAGGGCCAGGCCCTGGGGAGCAGCCAAGAGCCTTGGCACTGGTGCTGAGCTTATCTTGGCTCCAAGTGGGGCTCAAACAGCTCCACTCCACACCTCACTCAACCTGCTCTGTGCCTGAGGGTCAGCAGTGCCCCCCTGCCTGTCCCTGTGCCAGCACCCTCGTCCTGCCCTGTCCCTCTGTGCCCTCTGTGCCCTGCTCAGCTTGGAGGGCTGGATCCTTCCTGGGAGCTGGCCCTGCCTGGGGGGACAGAAAACCCTGCTCAGGGGCACTCAGGAGCCTTTGGGTGCTGTGTCCAGCTGTGCTCTGGGCTGCTGAGGGCTGCCACTTCACAGCTGGATCTGTCCCCAGCCAGATCTGATCTGTCCCCAGCCAGTTCTCCCCAGTGCCCCCCAGTCCTGCCCCCACCCAGTCTGGTGCCCAGCTCCCCACTGCTTGTGCCCTCTTCCAGTTCTGCCCCACATCCCTTCCAGTTTTCCCCCAAATTCCCCACTGGTTCTGACCCCACCCGGTTGTTCCCCACCCAGTTTCCCCCAGTTTCCCCATTCCCATCCTCTCCCTGTTTCCCATTCCCATCCTCTCCCAGTTTCCCCATCCCACGCTGTCCCTGTTCCCCATTCCCATTCCCATCCTCTCCAGTTCCCCATCCCACGCTGTCCCTGTTCCCCATTCCCATTCCCATCCTCTCCCAGTTCCCCATCCCACGCTGTCCCTGTTCCCCATTCCCATTCCCACCCTCCCAGTTCCCCATTCCCATTCTCTCCCCATTCCCATTCCCACTCTCCCTGTTCCCCATCCCACGCTGTCCCTGTTCCCCAGAGCCAGCCAGGAGCAGCTCCTGGAGGTGGCCCGAGGCCGAAGGTCCCCGTGCAGCCTCAGCTTTGGCCAGCTGGCCTGTGCCCAGGTGAGGACCCTCAATCCCTGCTTCCCTCGGGGCTGGCATTTGTTTTCCTTGGGAATTCTCCACTTCAAACCTGGCGGAGCAGCCAAAGCTGTGCCCAGGTTGTCACCCTGAGCCGTGGCAGTGCCACCCTCCAGGGGACACCTGCCCTGTGCCTGGGGCTCAGGAGTGCCCAACCCACCACGGAGACCTTGGGGAATTGGGGATTTCCCTCTCCAAACCCCTGGAGCGAGAAGGAAGCTGGGGCAAAGGGACTTTGCAAATCAAATTGACTCTGAAAAATGGGTGTCACAGCATTGGAATGAATCTCTGCAGGAGAGTCACCCTGGGCCGTTGGGATAAAGCACAATTCAAGGGGTAAAAGCACAATTAAATGGGGTAAAAACACAATTCAAGGGGTAAAAGCACAATTAAAAGGGGTAAAAACACAATTCAAGGGGTAAAAGCACAATTAAAAGGGGTAAAAACATAATTAAAAAGGGTAAAACACAACTAGGAGTGGCAAAAATAGAATTAGATGGGGTAAAAACACAATTCAAGGCATAAAAGAGTAATTAGAAGGGGTAAAAGCACAATTGAAAGGGGTAAAATCACAATTAAAAGGGGTAAAAGCACGATTAGAAGGGGTAAAAGCACAACTAGGAGTGGTAAAAACACAATTAAAAGGGATAAAATTACAATTGGAAGTGGTTGCAGTGTGGAAAATGCCACCTGACTATTCCAGGTTTACATTCTTCCCTGGTTTTGTCATTATCTCTTAATTGCCAGTAATTGCAATTAAATTGGCAGCAATTTGTGTTTTTCAGTAAATATTTCTGACAGAAAGATGGCACTCCTGCAAACATTTATCAGTGGGGGTTTTGGGATTTTTTGGTGTTTGTTTTTTCTTAGTTTTGTTTTTGTCTTCTACTGTTTGTAATCCATTTCCCTGAAAAAATGTTTGGAAATTAGAGAGTTCCCCATGGAAGTTTCTAGTCAGAGCAAATTTTTTTTTAAATTTGGGCAAAATTTTGGCAATTTTGGGGGTGGTTTTTTTTGGATAAAGCTTTTAACACCTGTGCCAGTGTTTTACCCCCTGAAGGGAAGAATCCCTTCCCAAATGCCCAGGTGTGGACGAGCCCCCTGAGGGTGATTTCCTCCCTAAAAATGATCTTTATTTGCATTTCCCTTCTCTTTCCCAGGGAGCTTGGCTCCAGGACCTTCAGGATGATTTCCTCGCATCCTTATATTCCTGCCTGGCCTCTAAACCCAGCACAGCCATGGATCCAGAATATTCCATCCTGTTCTTTTCCAAATATGATGCCAGGAAGCTTCTGGCCTCCCTGACCGTGTTCAGCCAGCAGGTGAGCCTTCCCTCAAATGGAATTCCCTCCAATCCAGGGAATTTTTGCTCAGGAAAAGACTTCATTTCAAACCCCCTGTTTAATTTTTTAACCTTATTTTGGAAAGAGCCCCATTCGAGACAACAGATTCAATTCAGCATTGGGATTTGCTTGGATTTCTGTGGGTGTCTGGTTAGAATTCCCTGGAATTCAGGGGTTTTTCTCTTCCCCTTGCCCCCAGTTTTCCCAGGTGCACCTTTCCCTGGAGTGGAGCCTGGTTTTCCTCAATGGTCTGTGGGAGAGGATGCTCCAAGTGCCCGGGATTGAGACCCCCCCAGTGCTGCTCCCGTGGCTCCACGAGGGCCTTGAGCCATTCCTGGTGGATCCCCAGGTCTTTGGCTGCCTCCTTGCCAAGGATGTGTCCTGTGAGGAATTCCAGCTGCTGTGAGTGTGGAATGTCCCCTCTGTGCCACCAGAGCCACGCCCTGGGGGCTCCTCTTTGTGGGGGGAAAAATCACTTTGGAAAAGGGTGGGAAGTGGATTTGTAGAAGATCTTTAAAGTTTAATTAAAGGTTTGTATTGTCTGTGTTTATACATATCAATTTTGAGATAAGAAATGTTGATTTAGAAATATTCTACACAGAGACAGAAATGCTTACGGTGTGTTGGAATTAGGAAATGGCAATACACTGGTTTTTTTACAGTTAGGAAATGACAATACAGTGGCTTCTGATTGTGATGGTGTGAATTATAACACCTGTATGGTCTCACCCTTCTCATGAGACTGAAAATGGAATAAAAGTTTTTAAAACACCTCTCAGTTGCCCCATCTCTGGGTCAGAAAAGGGCTTAATCCAACAGAAAAGGATGGGCTTGAGAATATCCATGTTTTTGTGAGAGCCCAGGCTCAGCCTCAGCAATGTTTGAGGTGTCTCCCTTCCTTTGGCAGAGTGGCTGCCCTGGATGGAATCTATTCCCAGCTTTCTGTGGGGGAGCAGAGGAATCTCTATTCTGGGATCAAGTATTTCCTCACCCAGCACGGTAAAGGACCTGGCACAGGGGGGTGAAAAACGCCAGTCACTTCTTTTTAAGATTTTAAAAAAGTCTGTGTTCCTGCATTCCTGTCTGTTTGTAGTTCCATGGGGTCTCTGTTCCTGCATTTCTGTGTTCCTGCAGCTCCATGGGGTGTGTGTTCTTGCATTTCTGACTGTGGCTCCATGGGTTCTCTGTTCCTGCAGCTCCATGGGGTCTGTGTTCCTGCATTCCTGCCTGACTGTAGCTCCATAGGATATGTGTTCCTGCATTTCTGTCTTCCTGTGGCTCCATGAGTTCTCTGTTCCTGCATTCCTGTGTTCCTGCAGCTCCATGGGGTCTGTGTTCCTGCATTTCTGTCTTCCTGTAGTTCCATGGGTTCTCTGTTCCTGCATTTCTGTCTGTCTGTAGCTCCATGTGTTCCTATAGCTCCATGGGTTCTCTGTTCCTGCATTTCTGTGTTCCTGCAGCTCCATGGGGTCTCTGTTCCTGCATTTTAGTCTGTCTGTAGCTCCATGGGTTCTGTGTTCCTGCAGCTCCATGGTTTCTCTGTTCCTGCATTTCTGTGGCTCCATGGGATCTGTGTTCCTGCATTCCTGTCTGACTGTGGCTCCATGGTTTCTCTGTTCCTGCATTTCTGACTGTGGCTCCATGGTTTCTCTGTTCCTGCATTCCTCTGTTCCTGCAGCTCCATGGTTTCTCTGTTCCTGCATTTCTGACTGTGGCTCCATGGTTTCTCTGTTCCTGCATTTCTGACTGTGGCTCCATGGTTTCTCTGTTCCTGCATTCCTGTGTTCCTGTGGCTCCATGGTTTCTCTGTTCCTGCATTCCTGCCTGCAGGACCCACCCAGAGCTGCCACAGCCAGGCCATTCCCAGCCTCAATTCCACTGCCTGGTTTCGGAATTTCCTGGGGTCCTTCCTGGAGCACGCCACCGTGGAGGACCTGCAGCTTTTTGGGGATGAAGCCACAGTGAGTGGGGACCCTGGGGGGGTCACAGTCCTGCCCTGAGCAAATCCAGAGCCCCAGGATGGTGGGGCTGGAAGGATTTAAGGGTCACCCATCCCACTCCAGCCCCAGCCACGTTCTGGGATCCCTGTCCCACCTGCCCTCGGAATTCCTGCCAGCAGGAACATTTCTCTGGCTAATCTGGGGTGCACAGTCACTGCAGTTATTTCTCCCCATCCTGTGATGAGAGGGATTTGCACAGAAGTTGGTTTCACAAAGGGAATTCTGCAGGGAGCAAACTGGAGTCAGTGAGAGGAGCAACCAGGTCGCAGTGTTTACTTGAAAATAAAAACAAAATAAACCTCAGCACAACTTTAAACCCAGGTGAAAAGCCCTGAGGCTGGCTCAGACTGTCCCGTGTCACTGTCAGGATTGAAGGATCCATCTGAACCATTTTGCCTTGTTATTTTTTTCCACCCTTCAGCTTCAAAAATTCGCCAGGGACCCGGTGAATATGGAGATGGTTGGGAACCTCACCTTGCTCAGGGAGACTGCCCTGTTCTACACCCAGCTCCTGACCTCTGCTCCTGCCTTTCCACTGTCCAGGTATGGATCTGAGGGCTTCTGACTTCCTGGCATGGCTCAGCCTGGCACTGTTGATTAATTTCCTCTTTAAGTGTTCTATTAATTACCTCTTTAAAGGTTCTATTAATTTTCTCTTTAAGGGTTCTATTCATTTTCCCTTTAAAGGTTCTATTAATTTTTTCTTTAAAAGTTCTATTAATTTTTTCTTTAAAGGTTCTATTAATTTTTTCTTTAAAGGTTCTATTCATTTCCCTTTAAAGGTTCTATTCATTTTCCCTTTAAGGGTTCTATTCATTTTCTCTTTAAGGGTTCTATTAATTTTCTCTTTAAAAGTTCTATTAATTTCCTCTTTAAAGATTTTCTTAATTTCCTCTTTAAAGGTTCTATTGATTACCTCTTTAAAGGTTCTCTTCATTTTCCCTTTAAAGGTTCTCTTCATTTTCCCTTTAAAGGTTCTCTTCATTTTCCCTTTAAAGGTTCCATTCATTTTCTCTTTAAGGATTCTGTTAGTTTTCTCTTTAAGGGTTCCATTTTCAGGTAACCCCGCTGCCCTTGCCCTCAAGGAGGGCCAATCCCCAGTTCTTTTCCTGGGACACGATCTCCCTGCAGTGCTCCCAGGCTTTTCCAGCTCCCTGAGCTGCAGCTTTGGCAGCAGCGGAGCTGAAAGGATGGAGAAAGGTGCCTGGAGAAGAACATCCCCTGGAGCAGAGGGAAGGTCTCTGAGCCAGCCTCTCCTTTCCCCCGCAGCCTCCCGGACAGGTTTATTTGTCACCTGAGCCCCGGGGCAGTGGCCAACCTGAGCAGGGAGGAGGCTTTGGGAGTGGCCCAGAGGCTCGGGAGGAGCTGCCCCTGGAGCAGGGCGATGCCCCGAGCCTCCCTGGCACCTCGGGAGCTGCAGGTGAGCACCTGGGCATCCTCTCAGCTGCACACAACCTGCCGGGGGTGGTGGTGCCCAGCTCTGTGTCCCCTCTTGTCACCCTCCTCTGGGTCACCCTGTGTCTCTGTTGTGGTGTCTGGCTGGGCTTCCGTCACTCACGGGGCTCAGGGGTGGGAATGGTCCGTGCACTTTGAGAGGGACACAGTGCAAAGCAGCACCCCATTGCCAGAAGGCTTCAAACTGTCTTTATTCCTGCACGCGTGCTTTTTGTACATTCTTACAAAACTCCCAAGCTTACACTTCACTCGTTGGTCAGGAAAGACAAACAAAGTGCTCATTGGGATAGAGAATTGCAGGTTTCTCTTGTTTCTCCATCTTTCTTTCTTGGTTTCTCTTATTTCTCCTTTCTTGGTTTCTCTTATTTCTTCTTCTTCTTTCTTGGTTTCTCTTATTTCTTCTTCTTTCTTGGTTTCTCTTATTTCTTCTTCTTTCTTGGTTTCTCTTATTTCTTCTTCTTTCTTTGTTGCTTTCTCTTATTTCTTCTTCTTTCTTTCTTGGTTTTTCTTATTTCTTCTTCTTTCTTTCTTGGTTTCTCTTATTTCTTCTTTCTTTCTTGGTTTCTCTTATTTCTCCTTTTTTCTTTCTTGGTTTCTCTTATTTCTCCTTTCTTGGTTTTTCTTATTTCTACTTCTTTCTTTCTTGGTTTCTCTGATTTCTCCTTCTTTCTTTTTTGGTTTCTCTTATTTCTCCTTCTGTCTTTCTTGGTTTCTGTTATTTCTCCTTCTTTCTTGGTTTCTCTTGTTTCTCCTTCTTTTTTGTTTTCTCTTATTTCTTCTGTCTTTCTTGATTTCTCTGTTAACAACCTTGGTAGGAAATTCTTTCAGGGATAACCACGGATCCTCTTCTCAAGCTCCTCTCTGGCTGACAGAAGTTGTGTAAAACCTCTTCCACACATCCACGGGCAAACCTGAGGCAGAAACGCAGGGATTTAAGGCTGTGGGATCCATCGCTGCTGCTCTGACTCTGCTCTGTCTCACAGGTGGCAGCCTCCCTGCTGAGGAATTTGGATGATTTGTCCCCAGCCGAGCTGGGAGCCCTGGGCCAGGCTGCCCTGGGGCTCTCGGTGTCCAGGATCCAGGAGAGCATCCCTGAGGAGCAGCTGGAGGCAGCTCTGCCTGCCCTGGGGACAGTCCAGGGCTGGAGGGCTGAGCAGGCCAGGGCTGTGGTCAGCAAACTGCTCCTCTCTGGCTACCAGGTACTGAGCTCCTCACACCCTCCTCCTGGGAAGGGTTTCAGGCACTGGGAGTGCCCAGGGAGGTTGGGAATCCTCATCCTGGAGGTGTCCAAGGCATGTCTGGAGGTGGCTCTGATGCCTTGAGAGGCTGCCTGGGACAGAGGGTGGGCAGAGTTAAAGGAGTAAAGTAGGGATTTATTAAAAGGACTTCAAAGGATTCTGACAGAACCAGAGCACACAGCCTCAAGCTGCACCAAGGGAAATCCAGGTGGGGTATTAGGAAAAAGTTTTTTACAGAAAGGTGATAAAGTTCTGGAATGGCTGCCCAGGAGATGGTGCAGTCACCATCCCTGGTGTGTTTAACAAAGCCTGGATGTGGCACTGGGGGCCAGGGCTGAGCTGAGGGGTTGGGGCTGGGCTGGACTCGATGATCTTGGAGATCTTTCCCAACCTGGGGATTCTGTGAATTCTGTGGATACACCCTGGGCAGTACAAGAGCCTGGCTGTGGCTACCCCCAAGATGGACAATGGGTCAGGAGTTTTCACACTTTTATCAGTTTTGGTCCATTTCCATCTTGGGGTTCATTGTCCAATTCCAGCTCAGGTGATGCAGTCCCATCCTCCCAGACTGCTCTCCTCAATTCCCTGTTGTTTGCACTTTCTGGGGCTGAAGCTGCAGCGGTGTCCTTGGTTCTGGGGCTGGCAAAATGCAGGAAATGAATTTGTAGAGAAGCATTTGTAGAGAAATACGAACTTCTAGAGAAACAGGCATTGCTGAGAGAGGGAAATGGAACTAGAAACAAGATTTAAAGGATGGCCTTGCAAATAAGACTGGATACTTTGGAGGAATAGGACTGTGAAAGATGCATTATACTAGGACTCACAAGGGGTAATTTTAGATTATTAACTTTAAGGAATTTACAGCATGGTGTGGCTAAAGCTGATAGCCCAAGAAATACTTATTATGTATTGCAATTAGGAAATAGTTAAATTTTGATTGTGGCAGTGTGAATGATAACATCTGTATTGTCTCACCCTTCACATGAGTCTGAAAATGGAATAAAAGTTTTTAAAACACCTCTCAGCTACCCCATCTCTGGGTCAGAAAAGGGCTTAATCTGAAAAAAAAAAAAGGATTGCTTTGTGTGGCTGAGCTGTGAGGAGAACTTGCTGACACTTTATATGGAGTTCAGAGTTAGAAACCAATGCAGAATCTGGAAAATGTAAAAGTTCAAGCTTAAGGCATGAGCACTCAGAGCTCTGGGCTGGGAACCAGGTGGGGTCGAGGGTCTCAAAGGTCTTTCCCAAGCTGATTTTTCCTGGGATTCCCTGGCAGATCCTGGATGGACAGAGCCTGGCAGAGCTGGGCACTTTGGTGGCCGGCCTCAACAGCAGCACGCTCAGGAGTTTGTCCCCAGAGGTTGTCCTGGAGGCCATCCAGCTGCCAGGCTTCGCCCAGCACGTGGACGCCCTGCCCTCCGCTCTGAAGAGGACCCTGGTGGAAAAGGTGACCTTGTTTTGTGTGCTCAGCCAGGAGCAGGAGCGGGGCACAGCTCACCTGGGCCAGCTGTGGCACAGCTGCCCGCCCCGGCAGCGTTCCCTGTGGGATGGGCACAGCCCGGCAGGGTGGCAGCAGGACAGGGCCACTCCAGTGCTGTCACTGCCTCCGTGTCACTGTCCCTGGCCTGCTCAGCCTCCTGGGGACAAGGCCAGGAGGGATTTGTGTCGTGGGGTTGCTCCCAGAAGCTGCTTCCCAGTGGATGTTCCCAGGGGAAGAATATTAATGGAGCAGAATAATTCAAGGTTGGACTTGATCCTGGAGGGGCTTTTCCAACCCAAATAATTCTCTGGTTCTGATCCTGCCGTGGTTTGGACTGAAGCAAATCTCACTGAAGTGAGATGGCCATGGTTTGTTCTGTTGGGTTTTTCCAAGGTTTCCTCCAGGGTTGGCCACCCCTCTGAGCTGGTTAGACTCATTCCCAGTGCTCTGGCCAGCTCCATCCCAAAATCCCTGCTGGTTTTTGGGGAAGAGAAGCCAAACGTGCAGGATCTCAACAACAAGCCATGGACCAGAGAGCAGGTAAAAGGTTCCTCCTTCCCCTCCCTGGCAGCCCTGCCCTCCATGGGTCCATGAATTCCACAAACCCCCCTGGAAACGGAGCCCGTTTCCCTGGAAAACCTCTGAGCTCTGCCTTTGCTCCCCAGGCTGCCATGTTTTTCAGTGATGTGGTGAAGGCAGAGCCTGACTTCAGCAGGTAAAGATTTTCCTCCTCTCCTTCCATTTTCTGTTTGTTTTCCTGGCAATTCCCACCTTTCCCATGGAGCATCCACATCCACCCCCTGGAATCCACGGGAACAGATGGGAAATGGGATGGGAGCCCAAACACAGACGTGGAACACGGAGATTTCCCAGGGCTCAGCTGTCAGATGCACCCAGGAGCCACATTTTCTTCCTAAAATGATGCTGCTGGTTCAGGCTGCACCTGGAATCTTGCTCCAGATTGCCTCTGGAATGCATTTCCAAGCAGGGAATGCATTTCCAAACCTTCCAGAGGGCAATTCCAGGGATTCATTTAAAGGGGCTGCTGTGTCTTTTGACGTATTTGAGATGAAAATTATGAAAACAAAGATTTATATCTGGAAAAAACGGTGGGGTCAGCAGAGTTTTGCTCTGAATTCACCTTCCTGAAGGCTTTTCCCTTCTGATTTTCCTGCTGGGAATTCCCAGGCTCTCCCAGTCTGTGCTCCAGGGCTTCACCTGTGCAGCTGCCAGCGCTGTGGGGGCAGAGAGGTTCCAGGAGCTGGCCAGGGTCATGAGGAAGAAGAAGGTCAGGCTGGGCCAGGACCAGGTAATGCCCACATTCCCAAGGGTTTGGTGGTGTCCTGCATGAGCTAAATGAAATTGTTCAGCCAGAGCAGCCCCTGGAGCCCAGGGGCTGGAGCAGGGACGTGCCAGCGGGGTTAGGATGGGTTTTAGGGGCAGGTTCTGCCCCCAGAGGGTGACCCAGGGACAGGGGGGATTGTTGGGGTGTCAGGGTGGTCCCTGTGGTCCCTTCCTGTGGACAAAAGTCCTGGGTGTCCCTCCCACAGCTGAGTTTCCCTGAAAAGAGGAGAAATCCAAACCCTTTGATTTCCATTTTTTTCCCCTCTCTCTTTTTTTTTTTTTTTCTTCAGAGCAGCATAAAATCTTTACATTGTTTTATTTTTTCCTTGTGTTTTGTGGTGGTTTCTGTCCTTGCTGCAATCTCTGGTGTCCTTCCAGCTGAGCTGCTTGCTGAAGATGCTGACTCTGCATGGGATTCCCAAGGATTTGGACAGTTATCCCCAAGACCTGCTGCTGTTTTTAAGGTAACTGTGCTGTGCTTTTCATCATCTTGCCTTAGAGCAACTTAGAAAAAATAAAGATTAGTTTATAACCAGGCTGGCTAATTTGATTTCTATTTCAGAGTTGTTTAAGCCTCTTCCTGGGGAATAAAAAATGGGATTGCAGAAAGCTGGAGGAGGAGATTTGTATGAGATATTGGAATAAATCCTTCCTTGTCAGGGTGGGGAGGCCCAGGTTTCCCAGAGAAGCTGAGGCTGCCCCATCCCAGGCAGTGGCCAAGGCCAAGTTTAGCATTCCCAGGCCTCTGCATGTGCTTTTCCCTTACAACACCAAAGAAAGCAGGGAATAAAGTGAATCCCCCTGTTCCAGTACCTTCCTGCTGTGGTTCTGCACCCAAACCTTGAACAATTTTAAGCTGTGTCTCACACAACAAATTCCTTCAGGTCAAAACGGATTTTTAAAGAACCATTTTTTAAACTTAAGGAATTTTTGAAGGATTTAATGGCACAGCAGAAAACTGGGGAAGAGCAGCTCCTGGAGTTCAGTGCGCAGGTGCAGAAGATGTTTTGTCAGACATGGGGTGCCTTGAGCTTGATCTCATTCCCCAAAATTCATGGAGTTTGTCTTTCCAGCCCCTCGGACTATGCAGGGAACTGCAGCCAGTTCTTCATCCACGTTGGGAAGGCAAACGGGGATGTTCTGCCCAGAGAGGCCCCGCAGAGGCAGCAGCTGCTCCTGGAGGCTCTGGAGTGCCTGGTAGGAGGAGAGGGATGGGATCCTGCAGGAATTTGGGTCCTGCAGGGCTTGATGGACTGGGATCCTACAGGGATTGGGGTCCTGAAGGAACTGGGGTCCTGCAGGAATTGGGATCCTGAAGGAACTGGGGTCCTGCAGGGATGGGGATCCCACAGGGATGGGGGATCCTGAAGGAAGTGGGGTCCTGCAGGGATTGGGGATCCTGCAGGGATTTGGGATCCTGAAGGAATTGGGGTCCTGCAGGGATGGGGATCCCACAGGGATGGGGGATCCTGAAGGAACTGGGGTCCTGCAGGGATTGGGGATCCTTCAGGGACTGGGATCCTGCAGGGATTTGGGATCCTGAAGGAATTGGGGTCCCGCAGGGATGGGGATCCCACAGGGATGGGGATCCTGCAGGGCTTGATTGGGATTCTGCAGGAATTGGGGTCCTGCAGGAATTGGGATCCTGCACCGCTTGATTGGGGTCCTGCAGGAATTGGGGTCCTGCAGGAATTGGGATCCTGCAGGAATTGGGATCCTGCAGGGATGGGGATCCTGCAGAAATTGGGATCCTGCAGGGCTTGATTGGGATCCTGCAGGGATGGGTCCTGCAGGGATTGGGGATCCTGAAGGAACTGGGGTCCAGGGATGCTCCATCCCAGCTAATGCCTCTGCCTTTATTCCAGGGCATTCCTGGCACACAAATAAATAAAGGAAACGCTGAGATCCTGGGCTGGCTGGTGTGTGACCTGGGGGGGGAGTACATCAGGAGTTCTGGGGGCACTTTGCTGAGGGGTTTGAGCCAGTGTGGGTCTTTCCTGCCTGAGCAAGAAGAGGCCATCAGGGACGTCCTCAGCAGTGGCAACACCACCTTTGGGTAAGGGTTTTCCTCCTGGGTTGTTCCCTTAATCAAACCCGTGGTCCTGTTAAGGCCTGGGTGAACTCCAGCCAAGCAGCTTGGTCAAAAACCCAAAAATCTTCTTGCTTTTGAGCTTTGCACTGGGCCTTTTATGTTGCTTGGTAGAAATTATTTCAGCTGAAAGGCCTGGGTGAAATTCTCCTGAAAAACGTGGTCACTTCTGTGTCTCTCTTGCTTGTTATAAAATCTTTTCCTCTGGTCTCAAAAATTGATTTTTCATTAATCAAACTTCTCTGCCTGGCCTGGTGATCACAGGTGAGGTCAGCACAGACTTCCAGGAGACATTCTGCCTGTCCAGTGAGAGGTGTTAGATAAATCCCTATTCTAACACACAGGGAAGCAAAATATTTTCCTTCCTGGGTCAGCTGCCCCAGGATCTTGGCACTGAATTGGGCCATAGCAAGCAACAGAAATTCTTTGGGTTCCAGAAGGAGCCTTAAGAAAATAATGTGTTTGTTCAAGGCCATTTTCCCACCCAGCTGCCCTGAGTTATGACCTTGACAACTTCTGCTCTGCTGCAATGGCGTTTTGTGCAACAGGAAGTGGTTGAGGTGTTTTAGGGCTTAAATTTTATGTTTTCTTAACGTCACATGTTACAAGGATGTAATCCTGGGGGATTTAAAGGTGTTTTTTTCCGTTTTGTTCTTCCTTGACAGCTGATACCTGCTCATTTTCATTGTGGCTTGTGTTAGGGATAGAAATGAGACAGATGAGACACTTGTTTTTTCTGTAGAATAGCTGAATTTTTATTGTATATAGCTCATTTTATGTGATATTAGAAGGTACTGTGTTTCAATTTAACAGATTAGTAAATGATTGAAACTCAGTTGATTGGTTGGTAATGGTTAGTGTACATGTTTATTAATCTTTTCTCTTTCTTGATAGTTTATATTTTTTATTTATGGATTTTTATGAGATTGTTTCTTATTTTTATAGGTGCCAACTGTTTTCTTACAAGAACAGATCGTTATGTAAATTGATTTTTATTTTTATAATTCTTCTCCTATGGGAATGTAACAGCTTAGTTAGAGTAGTAAGGTTTAAATCACGTTTATAAGGCTGTTCTTTTACAAGGTTTCACTTATTTGCAACACATTTTTTTTGTCTGCAGGCCTCCTGCAGCGTGGTCAGCCTTCACCCTGAGCGAGCTGGGCGGGCTGCTCCCCGTGCTGGACCCCAGCATCCTGCAGCAGGTCCCCAAGGTGGGCTCTGCCCCCGGCCTGGGGGGCTTGGGGGGCACGGCTGGGCTGGGAATGGGGCTGGGGGCTGCTGGGGGGGTTCAGCCAGCCTGATTCCAGCGGTTCTTCCTTTAAAGCAGCTGCTGCCAGAGGGATGGGGGTGTGGGAGGGAGGGTTCATGGGGCTGGGGTCTGGAGCAGAGCTGGGCAGGGTTAAAGGAATAAAGCAGGGATTTATTAAAATCCTCAAAGGATACACCCTGGGCAGTACAAGAGCCTGGCTGTGGCTACCCCCAAGATGGACAATGGGTCAGGAGTTTTCACACTTTTATCAGTTTTGGTCCATTTCCATCTTGGGGTTCATTGTCCAATTCCAGCTCAGGTGATGCAGTCCCATCCTCCCAGACTGCTCTCCTCAATTCCCTGTTGTTTGCACTTTCTGGGGCTGAAGCTGCAGCGGTGTCCTTGGTTCTGGGGCTGGCAAAGGATTGTTCTGTGTGCCTGAGCTGTGAGGAGAACTGCTGACACTTTATGTGAAATCCAGAGTTCTGTACCAGTGCAGTCCAGAATCTGGAAAACAGGAAAGCTCAAACTTAAGGCATCAGAGCTGACAGGCTGGAACTGCAAATCCAGGTCACTGCCAGTCCCTTCCTGTCACTTGGGGAGAGCAGGAATAACTCTCCCAGTGCTTTGTGAGGAGCTCCAGTCACTGATGGGCTGGGCAAAGGGAGAGTTCAAACATTTAAGGAATTGCTTTTGGTTCAGGATCTCCATGCTCAGAGCCCGCTGTGTGAGGAGCAGGAGCTGTGCTGGAGGCACATCCAGCATTCCCAAATCCCCCTGATGATCCCTTTTCCTTGCAGAAAGCTTTGACCACCTGGCTGAGGAACTTTGCCTGGGATTCCTCCCTCTCCAGGGAGGAGCTGGGCACCATCGTCGGGGAGCTCCTGCCCCGGCGGCACAAGCGAGCGGAAGGTACGGAGCTGTCCTGAGCCAGAGCATTCCCCCTGGGAGCAGGGATCACCCTGGCATTCCCCCTGGGAGCAGGGGTCACCCTGGCATTCCCCCTGGGAGCAGGGGTCACCCTGACATTCCCCCTGGGAGCAGGGGTCACCCTGGCATTCCCACAGGGAGCAGGGGTCACCCTGACATTCCCCCTGGGAGCAGGGGTGACCCTGACATTCCCACAGGGACCAGGGGTCACCCTGACCCTCCCTCCTGGACCAAGGGTCACCCTGACATTCCCTCTGGGAGCAGGGGTCACCCTGGAGCTCCTCAGGCCTTGGGAGAGGCTCCCAGGGAGGTTTGGAGTCCCCATCCCTGGAGGTGTCCAAGGAACTCAGTGCTGGTGACAAAGTGGGGATCGGGCAGAGCTCAACCTTGGAGGTTTTTCCAACCAAAATGATTCTGGGATCCAAAGCTTGGAGTGGAAAGATTTAATTTAACCCTGAGTTTGCCATGGCTTCAGCAGGATGCCCACCTGGGCGTGAGATAACAGAGGAAGTTCTGAGTAATGACCTGATGCCTGACTTCTACACCTCACCGGAGATCCTGCGTGCCTGCCTCCAGAACATCTCCCAGGAAAATCGCCTCTTCCTGGAAAATCACCTCTCCCAGGTCCTCACCTACCCCTTCAGCATCCCCCAGTTGGCTGTGCTGAAGGAATACCTGCACGAGGTAATTCCAGCCCAAAAATGTCCAATTCCCACTGATGGGATCACTCAGGGTTTTGTCATGGGCAATTTAGGATCTGCAAGGATGTGACTCAAATTTCCACTGATGGGATCACTCAGAGCCTTGTCTTGGGGAATTTAGGATCTCCAAGGGTGTGATTTAAATTTCCACTGATGGGATCACTCAGAGCCTTGTCTTGGGGAATTTAGGATCTCCAAGGGTGTGATTTAAATTTCCACTGATGGGATCTCTCAGGGCCTTGTCCTGGACAATTTAGGTTCTCCAAGGGTATGATTTAAATTTCCACTGATGGGATCTCTCAGGGCCTTGTCCTGGACAATTTAGGTTCTCCAAGGGTATGATTTAAATTTCCACTGATGGGATCTCTCAGGGCCTTGTCCTGGTGGATTTAGGATCTCCAAGGATGTGACTCCACTGTCTCTCAGCTCCTCTCCCACAGTTTAACCACCTTTACTGGGAATATATTTATTTCTTATCTCTCATTTCTACATCTAATCAGGGTTTTCCTGCCCTGTTGGCCCTCAGCCTTTCACAGGGCCCCTCTGAGAGGAACGTGGCTCCGTCCTCCCTCCAATCCCAATCAGAGAGATGAAAACAGCCCTAAAATCGTGCCGCCTTTCCCCAGGCTGAGCCCGGCTCCCCGAGCCCCGCTCGAGCCCGTGCCCGCGGTGTCTCCACAGAGCTATCCCCGTGGTTATCCCCAGCACGTTCTCGCTGAGATGGGCCCTTTCCTGCCCCTGCTCAGCCCGGAGGAGATCTCCACCTGGCAGCTGAGCTCCGCTGACACGCTGGCAGCGTTCCTGACAACGGAGCCGCAGCCCTCGGGCTCCCTGGTAGGGGCTCGGCTCTTTGGGGGCTGCTTTGGGCTCTGAGGGGGTCAGAGCATCTGTGGTGCCACAATTTTGGGTGGCCCAATCAACGTGAACGTTATCAAAGAAAGGCCTTGTAAAATCAGGCTTTGTGCTCTAAACTAACCTATTAAATTCTCATTAAAAAAAAAAGAATAAAAATCAGTTAGCACAACAATCTGTTCTTGTAAAAAAAAGTTCACGACTATAAAAACAAGAAGTTATCCCATAAAATTCCATTTAAAATATATAAGCATATCTATAAAATGTTTAATAAACATATAACATATATAGAAATATATGTTGCATATAGAAATATATGTAACATATAGAAATATATAATATATATAGAAATATATGTTACACATATAGAAATATATGTTACATATAGGAATATATAACATATATAAATATATAACATATATAGAAATATATAACATCTATAGAAATATATGTTACATATAGGAATATATACCATATATAAAAATATATAACATATATAGAAATAGATAACATGTATAGAAATATATGTTACATATAGAAATATGTGTTATATATACAAATATATAACATATATAGAAATATTTTATATATACAAATATGTAACATATATTCTTTAATAAACAATAGCCCTTACCAAGCAATGAACTAAATTTCATTAGATTACTAACCAATTAAATTCAAACACAAAACCTTCTAATACCATATAAAAATGGTATGCGATAAAAACAATTCTTAAAATTAATAAAAATAAATAATGATGAATAAAATAAAAATTAAAAATAATAAAATAATATGAAAATGGCGTACAATAAAAAAAAAAACTATTCTACACAAAAAACCAACTATCTCATTTCTATCTCTAACACAAAATTCACCGCAACACGATAAAATAAAACGGTTCAATTTTATTTTTGCAATTCTGAAACACGGAGTTTCTTTCGGGGGTGAAACCACACCTTCTGATGCCATTAAATTAGTGCAATAAAATTAATTGTGTTTGCAGGCGTCGGCAGCAATCAAACGCTACGTGGAGCTGGGCAATGCCCTGAATGCCACGGCCCTGGATGCCATTGGCACCAAGTACGTGTGCCTGCTCAATGCCACCGAGCTGAAGGCCATCGACCCCTCCAGCCTCAAGTGAGTCCCAGGCTGGGGTGTCCTGGGCTCCTTCCAAAAGCCCTTTCCCATCCTTTTCCTTTTTTCTGCTCCCGGGGAAAGGGAATTTAGGAAGCGCCTTAGGAGCTGCCAGGCACGGCTCAGATTCCCGATCCAACTCTCTTTATTTCAGCCCAGCGGGCTGCAAATCTGACTCTGTGCCTGCTTTCATCTGCAGAAGAGTTAATTAAATTGAATTTCATAGAATTACAGAGTTCTTTATGTTGGAAAAGGCCTCTCAGATCATCACCAAGCTCACCACTAAACCACATCCTCAAGTGCCACATCCTCGTGGTTTTTAAGCATTTCCAGTTTGAACTCCTCTTAAAGACTGGTAAATGAAATTATCTTGGCAATTAATGAATTATGCTTGGCAAAACACGCAGATTTTGGCACCACCAGAGCCCATTTGAAGGACAAATTCTCAGCAGGAACCTGGGCCATTGTTTTTCCTCTCAGCTTCTCTCCACAGAGCTGGGAACTGGGGATCACTTGTGCCATGCAGAGAATCCCAGAAAAACACTCAGACTATGGGAAAATTGAACTTGTTGAAGGTAACAAAAGCTTTTTTCACCCTAAATCTTTATTTTTCTGCAGACTGGCATCTCTGGATCCTTCAGCCTGTTCTCAGGAGACGAAGAACCTCTTGTACCAGAAAGCCAAAGAAGCTTTCTCTGACCAGCACCATTCACCTGCTTACTATGAGCTGATTTTACCTTACCTGGGTATGTAAAAATCCAGGGTGTTGTGGGGAAAGAGAACTCATAGCCACAAACTAAATGAGTATCAAATTCCATCGAAGATTTGGAAATTTTCCAAGTCAAGTTGTTAAAAGTTTGTCTTTCCAACTTTTAGATAGCACAAAATATTCTGTGCCTGCTTTAAGTTGCCCAAATCTGTTTCCAGACCAAGAAATCAGAATTAACCTCAAAACCCTTTTCCATGTCACTTTTTTTATTTTTTTTCCTAAGCCAAGATTTTGGGGTTTTATTTCCCTTTAAGCCAAGATTTTTTTCCAACTTTTCCTCATCCTCCTTTCCACTTTCTGGCCGCAGATTTTTAATGCCCAACATAATACCTGCCAATAAAAAAAAATATAAATGTATAATGTATATATAATATACATGTGTAATATATGTAAAATGTGTAATATATATATAATACAAATAATACAAATGTATAATTAATATATAATATATATAAAATATTCCATATTAAATAATTTTACCGGGTTTCAAGCAATAATTTAAATTTTTGCCTCTCACTTCTATCTCTAACACACCACCCCTTCTCTGTCCCTTTTTGTTTCCCAGCTGCTGACCCCCGGCGATGTGCGGGGGCTGCTGGGGGTGCAGCTGCCCGAGCTGGCGCGGTGGCAGGGCCGGAGCCCCGTGCGCGACTGGCTGGCGCTGCAGAAGCGGTCGGAGCTGGAGCGGCTGCACGCGGGGCTCACGGGGGGCGTGCAGGAGGGCTACATCAACCTCGCCACCCCCAAATTCCCAGGTGCTTTGGGGGCCTGGCGGGTGGGCTGTAACGGCTTGGTTTTGGGGTCGTTTTGGGGTGATTTTTAGTGAGTTTTGGGTGAATCTGGGGTTGAATTTCCTGGGTTTGGGGTTAATTTTGGATGAATTTTGGGTTGTTTTTCCCTGTTTTTCATGTTAATTTTGGCTTAATTTTGGCTTAATTTTTGGTGAATTTTAGCTTAATTTTTGGTGAATTTTGGCTTAATTTTTGGTGAAATTTGGCTTAATTTTTGGTGAATTTTAGCTTAATTTTTGGTGAATTTTGGCTTAATTTTTGGTGAATTTTGGCTTAATTTTTGGCTTAATTTTGGCTTAATTTTTGGTGAATTTTGGCTTAATTTTTGGTGAATTTTGGCTTAATTTTTGGTGAATTTTGGCTGAATTTTTGGTGAATTTTGGCTGAATTTTTGGTGAATTTTGGCTGAACTTTGGGTTAATTTTGGGGTAATTTGAGATTCATTTTTTCCATTCTTAGGTTCATTTTGGGTTTATTTTAGGTGAATTTTTGGGTTTATTTTGCATGGTTTTGGGGGGAGTTTGGGTTATTTTTTGGTTAATTTTGCCCATTTTTGGGCTAAACTTGGGATGAATTTTGGGTGAGTTTTGGCCATTTTTATGTTAATTTTGGGGTGAATTCTGGGTTAATTTTATCCACTTTTGGGGTTCATTCTGACCACTTCCAGGCCTTCCTCCTCGGGAGTGCTGGGTTTGGGCTTAGAGGCAGGATCACAGGGGTTGGGGTTGGAGGAAACTTGAGGATCCTCCAGTTCCAGCCCAAACTCAGCTTGGTGTTTGCCGTGGTTACACAGGAGAAGAGAATCCCTGCAGGGGGCACAGGGGATGTTTTCCCCATGGAGGAGTGGTTCAGTTGTCACATTAAGTTGTTTTCTTACTTAAAGATGGGGTAACTAAGAGCTGTTTTAAAAACTTTTATTCCATTTTCAGTCCCATCTGAAGGGTGAGGCAATACAGATGTTATAACTCCCACAGCACAATCAGAATCCAACTATTTCTGAATTATATTATAAGCATTTCTGGGCCTATCAGCTTTAGCCACACCATGCTGTAAATGCCTTAAAGTTAATAATCTAAAATTACCCCTTGTGGGTCCTAAAATGCATCTTTCATAGTTCTATTTCTCCAAAGTATCCAGCCTTATTTGCAAGGCCATCCTTTAAAACTTGTTTCTAGTTCCATTTCTCTCTCTCAACAATTCCTGTCTCATTCCAAGCAATTTCTAAGCCAGCATTTCTTATCTCGAACAAATCTTATCTCTACAAATCCATTTCCCACAGTTCAGTCACTGATTTCTCTGCTCTGATGCCCTCTTTGTCCTCCAGCAATGTCCTCAGCCCCTCTGGGCACCGTGGCCATGGTGTTCCACCTCCTGCCCGCCCTGCTCCTCAGCTTCTTCATGGTGTCCCTCCTCTCCTGACCATCTCCTCCCACCAGGAACCAAGAGGGACCAGCCTGTGACCTGCTCTGAGACCTGGCCTCAGGAGTGCCCAGAGCTCCAGGCAGCTGGGATCAGCCCAGAACTCACTTTTAGGTACTTTTGGCTTTCAAATCACTTGGAAAAAGTCCCAGTTTTGTCTGAAGGGAAGATTCAGACTCTTTGGTGCAGGATCTTTGCCTTTGGGACAGCCCAAGCCCAGCTCAGCCCCAAAACACTGCTAAACCCCATCTTAGTGCTGGGTTTAAGGGTGAGTCCTGCAGGTTAAAAATGACATTTCCCGGAGCCTGACCTCGTGACACTGCCAAGACCTCAGGGTGGGACTGAAGTTTGCCAGCTGCTTGTAAATAAATCCTGGAACTGAGTAAAAATGCCAGAAGCAAACTGATGAGTGTCTGCTCTTCCTTGGGGCTGCCCTCACCTTCCTGTCTGCAGGAATCCCCCCAAATGAAGGCTCAGAATCCCAGGATCTGCCTGTTCCTGTTCCTTGGAGTTGGCTGTTCAACATTTAGGAGCTGAGACTGTTCTCAGCTTCCTCACGTGGAGGAAAGGAACTTTGTACAAGGTTTTCCATATTTTTCCCCACTCATTGGAAATATCTGTCAAAAAAAAAACCCATCAGTGAAACCTGTATCCAGCTCCTGACATTCCCCTTTCCTCCAGGAGGAGGATCTGGGAGAGAAAAAGGGATTTATAGATCTCTCTCTTATAAATCTTCACTGTCTGAGCTTTCTAGAGAGGGAGCAGGTCTGTCCTTCACTGCAGATTTTGGATTTATGCTGGAAAAGCTTCCCCACAAAGCACTAAACACCTCAAAGGACACGCTGGATTAGGAAAAACCAGATTGATGTTTTATTGTATAGCACTGAACAGTAATCAAGATAATTTATCTCCAGCTAATCATCCCATGACAGTCTGTGTGTGGTTTGAACAAACCTTGATCAAAAAGCAGCTCGTGAAAGAAGTTAAATAGGATTTTTGGGGATCTCTCAGCTGCAGTGCAGGGCCACCAGTGACTCAAATCCCTGAGTTTCCCACTGTTTAACAGATCCCAGTGGGATGGGATGGACAGGAAATCCCTGCAGGAGCTGGGCCCGGTGTTCTTGCCTTGGCAGAGCAGTCAGCAGCACTGCTGGTTGTACTACAGGGAGTAAATCTCTAGTAAGGATCTGTGGGGCTTCTCTGGGCTGGAAAAACAACAAATGAAGTTGTCCTTCACTGGCCAGCCTCAAAAATAATCAAATCCTGTGCTGGAATCAAATGTGGATGCATTCTCCTCCCTTTCCTGGGGTCCTGCTGTCCAGCAGGGACTTGCCCAGCGCAGTTGCACTGGGATGGAGGGAGGGGTGTGCAGGGTGGCTGGTGCTGAGGGGGGCTCAGAGCAGCAGGACGTTCCCCACGGTGGCTGCCAGCAGGAGAGCGAGGCAGGAGCAGAGCCTGGATCCTGATCCTGCAGGGAGAACGCAGCAATGGGATTCTCCAGCTGCCTGGGGAGGGCTGTGGGCTCAGGAGGTGATGGGACACCTTGAAGTGACCTGAGAACCCGAGGGCAGCCCCAGGGCCACATCCCCACCCGTCCCCCAGCTCTGAATCCCAGCAGGAGCAGGGGGGATCAGCCAGCTTTGTCCTCCCCAGCATTCCCAAGGTTTCCCACGTTCCCAGCTCACCAGGCTCAGGCTGCAGGTTGATGTAGCCATTGGAAGTTGTCTGTGCTGGCTCTGGGACGCTCCCAGCTGTGGGTTTGGGGCTGGCAGGGGAGCTGGGCTGGCACGGTGCGGCCGTGGAGGAGCCCGGGCTTGTCTGGGTGGGGATGGTGGAGCTGGGAACTGGGGTGGGCGTGTGTGGGGCTGGAGTGGCACTGGGGACAGAGGGGGATGGAGGGACAGGGGTGGCACTGGGAGCAGAGGTGGGATTGGAAGTGGGAGAAGATGTAGGACTGGGGACAGTGGTGACAGTGCTGTGGGTGGCAGTGGGAGCAGAGGAGGAGTGAGGGACAGGGGTGGCAGTGTGAGCACAGGAGGGTTTGGGAGTGGGAGAAGAGGTGGGATTGGGGACAGGGGTGACAGTGCTGTGGGTGGCTGTGGGAGCAGAGGAGGGGTTAGGGACAGGGGTGACAGTGGGAGAAGAGGTGGGATTGGGGACAGAGTTGACAGTGCTGTGGGTAGCAGTGGGAGCAGAGGTGGGATTGGGGACAAGGGTGGCAGTGGGAGCAGAGGAGGGGTTAGGGACAGGGGTGACAGTGGGAGATGGGGATGGTGGTGGCACTGGCCAAGGTGCTGGGGACAGTGGGGACAGTGGTGGGCACAGGGGTGACATTGGCTGAGGTGGCAGGGTGAGGAGAGGTGGGGACAGTGGCCATGGAGGTGATAGTGACAGAGGTGGGGCCAGCAGGGGTGGTGACAGTGCCCATGGAGGTGACACTGGCCGGGGTGGTGGGCACAGGGGTGGTGGCAGTGGCCGTGGAGGTGACACTGGCTGCAGTGGTGGGCACAGGGGTGGTGGCAGTGGCCAGGGTGGTGGGCACAGGGGTGGTGGCAGTGGCCGGGGTGGTGGGCACAGGGGTGGTGGCAGTGGCAGTGGAGGTGACACTGGCTGCAGTGGTGGGCACAGGGGTGGTGGCAGCGGCCGTGGAGGTGACACTGGCTGCAGTGGTGGGCACAGGGGTGGTGGCAGTGCCCATGGAGGTGCCGCTGGCCGGGGTGGTGGGCACAGGGGTGGTGGCCGTGCCCATGGAGGGTGGGCACAGGGGTGGTGGCAGCGGCCGTGGAGGTGACACTGGCTGCAGTGGTGGGCACAGGGGTGGTGGCAGTGCCCATGGAGGTGACACTGGCTGCAGTGGTGGGCACAGGGGTGGTGGCAGTGCCCATGGAGGTGACACTGGCTGCAGTGGTGGGCACAGGGGTGGTGGCAGTGCCCATGGAGGTGACACTGGCTGCAGTGGTGGGCACAGGGGTGGTGGCAGTGGCTGTGGAGGTGACACTGGCTGCAGTGGTGGGCACAGGGGTGGTGGCAGCGGCCGTGGAGGTGACACTGGCTGCAGTGGTGGGCACAGGGGTGGTGGCAGTGCCCATGGAGGGGACGCTGGCCGGGGTGGTGGGCACAGGGGTGGTGGCAGTGGCCGGGGTGGTGGGCACAGGGGTGGTGGCAGTGCCCATGGAGGTGCCGCTGGCCGGGGTGGTGGGCACAGGGGTGGTGGCAGCGGCCGTGGAGGTGGCAGCAGGGCTGGCTGTCCCCGTGGGCTCGGGCCGCCCCCCCTGCAGGCCGATGCCCAGCACGCAGTCCAGCTCCCGCTGGGATTGCAGCTGCACCCAGCTCACCACCGCGGGCTCCTGCTCGTGCTCCTTCAGCTCAGGGAGGTTTTCCCCCAGCAAAAGTTTCACGTCAGTGACGCTGAGTTTCTGCAACACACACAGAGCATCTCCTTCCCTCACCCTCACAGTCCCAAAGGCTTTGCTAACGGGGCTGCAGAGCAGCTAGAACTTCCTAAAGGAAATTTATAAAGGTGGGAAAGTGGAGAATTGGTGATTTGGTTGGGCTCTGACCTCAGCTCCCCCTGCTCAGCCCTCAGCCAGCCCTTCCCTGGGGAGAGGGACAGCAGCACCCAGGGCTGTACCTGCAATTCCTCAGGATTTAGGGTGAGGAAGGTGTCCAGATCCATGTTTATGGCCACACCACCATTAGCCAAGTTCTTCAGATCTTCTGCTGGAGCTCCACCTTAAAGACAGCCCAGGGGACACCTGGAGATGTGCAAACCCTTCCAGCACTTCTGGGGAGGATTTGGGGAGGTTCTGGAGACTGCCAGACCTGTCTGTGGCTGAGAAGAGACCCCGAACCTGGTGGTGGGAAGGAGGGTGGAGGGGAAGCACCTACCCAGGTACGGCCGGATCTGGCAGTAATAGGGGCCAGGGGTGCTGGCCGGGCTGGCAAAGGCCTCCCGGGCCTTCCCATAGAGCTGCTTCTTCTTGGATTGGGAGCATGAAGAGATGTTCAACTGCCCAGCAGTCCTGGAAGGGGGGCACAGGTTAGCCCTGATGCTTAAGTTTGAGCTTTCCTGTTTTCCAGATTCTGGACTGCACTGGTACAGAACTCTGGACTTCACATAAAGTGTCAGCAGTTCTCCTCACAGCTCAGGCACACAGAACAATCCTTTGCCAGCCCCAGAACCAAGGACACCGCTGCAGCTTCAGCCCCAGAAAGTGCAAACAACAGGGAACTGAGGAGAGCAGTCTGGGAGGATGGGACTGCATCACCTGAGCTGGAATTGGACAATGAACCCCAAGATGGAAATGGACCAAAACTGATAAAAGTGTGAAAACTCCTGACCCATTGTCCATCTTGGGGGTAGCCACAGCCAGGCTCTTGTACTGCCCAGGGTGTATCCTTTGAGGATTTTAATAAATCCCTGCTTTATTCCTTTAACTCTGCCCACCTCTGTTCCAGGCAGCCTCTCAAGTCATCAACAGCACCCCAAATTGCAGATAAATTGTTCTGGTGCTGGGAGGGATGAGGGGGATATCCCTGCTCATGGTCCTGGAGCTCAGGTGAGATCTGGGATTTGGACACGGCCATCCCACTGTGCTGGTTGGGAGTGGGGACATCCACAACAGAGCTGGGGCTCTCCCATCCCACCTCCCCAGAGCCCTGGGGGCTCTCAGGGCTGAGCAGCAGCCCCAAGAAGCGGCTCACCCTATGGCTGCAGCAGGGATCTGCTGGATCTGCTCCTCCTGCAGGTTGCACAGGTGCCTGCCTCCGATTTCCTGGAGCAGGGGCCCCGTCAAGGAGCCCCCCAGGGCCAGGTACGTGCTGAGCAGCTGCTGCACCTGAAGGACACAGGCAGGGATGGGAGACGCTCCTGGTAAGGATGGCAGTGCTGCCAACCCCCAAAAACCCCACAATGTCTCCACCCTGAGATGGGCTGGAACAGAGGCATTCCCAGTTTGGGTTCCTCACCATCCATCCCCTTCTGCTGCCATGGATTTACCTGGGAATCATCCCACTCTCCTCCTGAGCCACTGAGCAGGGCTGAGAGGGTGTCACTGGATGTCACCGGCCACTTGCTGATCTCCTGCTCTGTGTACAGGCGGGACAGCACCCCCAGGCGCTTCAGCTGCTCCTCTGGGATCCCTGACTCCTGGAAAAACTGTGGGGACCAGCCCAGGGGGCAGGACAAAGGGTGAGGGAAGGGAAAATAGGGCAGGAATGAATGCAAAGGACCCACTTGGACACCTTCATCCCTGTGCCCACTGAGCCCTGTTCCCTGCCCATCCCAGCTTGGCCCGTGCTGCTGGGGGGCTCCTGTCCTGTGCCACCCCTTACCTCATCCACCTTTTTTTTCAGGACCCAGGAAGCCTCTGAGGTGATTGGCCAAGCCAGCACAGCCTCCAGGTTTTGTATTAGCACATCATTACTCAGGCACAGGTCGAGCTGGTCAAGCATGTCAGGGGAGAGGTAGAAGATGATGTCATCGATGTTGCTGGCAGTGATGGGCTTGGACTGGCAGCCTGAGGGCAAGGAATTGTGTCAGCCAGAGGTGTGTGTTGTGTTTGTGCCCTTCCCACCTGGCCCTGCTCCTGCCACAGGGCTCAGAGCCCTGGTGAAGGACAGGGAATCACAAAAACGTGGCTCAAGCCACGGTGGATCCTGCTCCCATCCCCTGGTCCCCAGTCCACAGAGGTGCCTCATTTGCTGTCATTCCCTAAAGTCATTCCAGAAGAACCTGGTGGTGTTTTGCAGCCCACTTGTGCTTTGTCCTGTTAAAGGCAGCGCAAACTGCTCCATGTCCCCTACATGAGCATCCTCTGCTCTTGCAGCGTCCTGCCCTGGCTCTGGCCCTGCCTGGGGACTGTCCCACTGTCCCAGCTCCTTCCTGAGTGCTGCCACCACATCCCTGCTCCCAGGTAAGAGCAAACCCTCCCTGTGCTTCAAGGACATTTCCCCACTTCCCCAGTTTGTGGGAATACCAGATTTCTGCCTGGTCCAGCCAGGAACTCCCAGATCCTGCCAGCCCCGGGCATTGTCCCCTCCCAGAGCTCTGGCGTGGCCGGAGGGAAGGGAAACACTCACGGTCCGTGCTGCGCTTCAGCCGGGGCTGGGAGGCAGCTGATGCTGCTGCGAGCGCCCTGAGGAGGATCAGGGATTTCTCCCGCTGCGAACGTCCCTGGCTGATGTAGGCGGCAGCGATGCTCCTCCTGAAATCCTCCCGTGCTGCCTGCGGGGACACAGGGTGCTGGGACCGGGGGCACAGGGACAGAGTGCTGGGACCGAGGGACACAGGGGCAGAGGGTTCTAGGTCCGGAGAGCACAGGATGCTGGGTCCCCCAGCCTCGGAGCTGACCTGCCTGATGGTCATCTCGCCCCCGAGGAGGGATCTTACCTCGGCCACCAAACTCAGCGTGGTCTGGTTCAACGCCAGCACGAGCGGCCCCAAATCTTGCAGAGTCTGTAAATCCCAGCTTGAGGGATCCCTGCGGCAGCAGGAGCAGGACCAGCTCAGCATCCCCGTGGATCCCCACCCCTCCTGTCCGCCGCCCAGCCCTGCAGGAGCAGGAAGGCTGCTCACCCGTACGCTGTGTCCCCCGAGAGGAGCAGGGCATTGAGGGCGTCCTGCTGTGCCGCCGTCAGCGCCGGGCAGAGCTTCAGCTTCTCCAGGATTTTGGGATCCGAAGCCGGGATGGTGCCCGGCTCCAGGTCACACACCAGCGCCCCGAGGCTGTACACGTGGGGTGTCATGAAAATGTCCCCTAAAATCAGTGCCAGGGCGCTGCCATCCCCACGGCCGGGTGGGTGCCCCCGTATCCCGAGATTTGGGTGCGGGACAAAGCAGCAGCGCCCGGGTCTCAGCCGGGGCGAGGCTCCCGCTGCAGCCCCGTGGAGGAAGGAGAATTCTCGGTGTGTTTGTGTTTCTGCAGGAGCCCAGCCCGCCGGAATCCCAGCACGGAACCGGCTGCACAGGGCTGTAAATCCTCCCCGCTCCAGTGACCCGGCACAGCAGCAGATGTGGGATAAACACAAATTCATCCCGCCGGACACCCCGGGACCCCCAGAGCCCCTGCCGGGGCTGGTACTTACTGGGGATGCTCAGCGTTGGACAGGACGGCTCCAAAAATCAGGGCAGCCTGGGGAGAGGATGGGGGACGCTCAGCCCCGGTAAGGAAAGGGAAGAATGAGATGCAGGGAATGGGATCTGACCCGTCTGGAGCACCCAGACTGCTGGGAACAGCCAGGAGCTGCAGCAGCCCTGGGTTACTTGTGGGGACAAAAGCCATCAAAGCCACTCTCAGCAGCGGGGACACTCGGGTCCCTGCTTGCCTGGAGCTGGGTTTGGGAGCAGGGCATGGAGGTGAGGGATGGGACAAGGACAGGGCCATGCTCTGCACAGGGGACAGCAGGCAGGAATGGTGGCACCTCCAGCGCCAGCTGGGGAATTTTGGGAAAGCCCCGGCACGGTGGGAGGCAGCAGAGCCGGCAGGGACTCACCGCTGTGGCTTTCAGCGGGTCTGCGGTGACACCTGCAAGGAAGCAAGAGCAGGTTAGGAAACATCCCTGGATTGTGAACGGCTCTTCGGGGTTGCTCCAAGCAGTTCCAGGTTTGAAGTCTGGGAAGAGCTTTTCCTTTGCTAATTTCATGTTTAGGAAATGCTGCAGATCACTATGAAGGGAGCAGCCCCCATCCCGAGCACTCCCGGCTCCCTGCAGGAGGGTGTGGAAGACAAAAAGGGTTAAATCCATCCCTGGAAATCTGGGAAGATGTGTCCCTGGGAGAAGCCTGCAGATGCTGAGGGGAGCAGGAGGCAGAGCCCTGGGAGCGCTGAACCAAGCGGGATTGGGATGAGGAGCAGCACCGCTGGAGCATCCCTGGTGCCAGCGGGTGCCTGGGGGTCCCGGGGCAGTTTTTGGGGACAGGATGTGACTCACGGAGGCAGAGGGTGGCAGCTGCCAGGGCTGGGGCTGCCCACGCCATGGTGTGGTGCCGGGGGTTCGTCCTTGGAGCTGGTCCGGAGAGCCGTGTCCCACACCTGGGATTGCTGGAGGTCCTGGAGCTGATTCTGTCACCCAAAACTGGGGCTGGAGCCGTTCCACACTCGGGGTCAGAGCTTCGGGACAGCACTGGAGGTCCTGGGGCTGATTCTGTCACCCAGCACTGGGGCTGGAGCTGTGGGGTCAAGGGTCTCACTGTGCCCACCCCGTCTCTGTGATGCTGCACAGACCCCCAGCGACCAGAGGTGAGATTTTAAATCCTACATAACAGAAAACAGGACTTTTCCCACCCGTTCTTAAAAGAAACCTCACAATTGTTCGGCAGGGACAGGGTCCCCCTCCATCCCCCAGCTCCTCACCAGCACAGACTGGGAGAAATCCAGTGTAAGGCAGTGGGAGGACCCAGCAGGTGTTCCCCACCCCTCTACACCCCTCAGGGTGATCCCCTGATAGAAAATCAATCCCTGCTCCTGAAATTCCCCGGGGGCTGCCCACAGCAATCCGTTATCGCCGTTTGAACTCAACGCAAGGAATTTTCCCCCCCTCAATCTCCTTTTTCCTCCCCCAAATCCTACCGTGGCTGTGCCGAGTTGCTCTCCTTCCCCTTGTCCAGGGGGATTTGGCTCCGGGATGGGAGGATTCGGCCGGGAAGGTGCTGGTGGGGCTGGGGCAGGGGCTGGGCAGCGCTCGGCACTTTATCTGTGCGGGGTGGGGATGTTGCTCCGCACACGGGGTGTGACGGGGCAGTTTCTCAACTCTGTTTTGTCAGGCTCCTTTCCTTCTCCCTGGTTTTGCTTTGGGGTTGTTTCCTACTTCTCATAAAGGGTCACTGAGCTCTGGGTTCAGCTGAACCGAAAATGAACCCAGAAGGAGTTAAAGCCCCTGGTTTGGGAGTTTCTGTGCTCCTGAGGGGGATTAAGGTGCTGTCGGTGAGGGGAAAACCTGTAGAGCTGCTCAGGGGTTATTTTATAGGGCAGCTGGGGTGCAGAACAGACTGAGCTCAGTGATGGGCTCAGCACCCTCTGGGAGATATTTCCCCTGTGCCTCTCCTTTTTCCCTGGATCACAGCCAACCCCATGCCCTTTTTTTCAGCTTTTTCCCCGATCATGCTCCAAAATGCTGTCGAGCACGTGTCATGAAGGGGACCAAGACCAAAGGAATCAAATCCTTCCCGAGGCTCTGAGATGACAACCTGGAGGAGCTGTGAGCACAACCTTTATCTGAGAGTTTATCCTGGGAAAAGGGAAGGGTGGCTAAGCTGGAGCAGGGCTGCACCCCCCTCTCGGCCAGGTTTGGGGGTCCCAGCCCTCACCAAGTGTCCCTGGAGTGGCTGGCACAGTGTCAAGAGGGGTTTGTCACCCCCAGCCCTGTCCTGTCCCCAGCCCCGTCCCCCAACCGGTCCTGCAGCCCCAGGGCTGGGTCCACGCCCATGGGTGTTGCTGGTTTCTATTTTGGAAGGATTTACTGTGAAAATAGCTCCTGTTGGGGCAGTAAAATTACAGAATGCTATGAGGCTGCTGGAGGGACACAGCCCCTGCCCCGGGCTGGCTGGACAGAGGTGGCTGGAGCAGGAGGGCAGGGACACACCAGGGCCACTCTGGGGGTCACCGCGTCCACTGTGTCCCTGTGGAGATCAAAGCTGGCCCTGAAACCCCCTCAGGAGATGCCACTGGAGGATCCACCCTGAACTTGAACATGTGGAGGAACATCTGCCCCAGGCTATTCCTGGGGACATTCCCAGGTCAGCTGTGAGCTCTGACTGCACCTCCCTGTGCCAGGAGGGCTGGGAATGCCCCTCTCCCTTTACCACTTGTCCTCTGTCCATGTCTGGTTCATAACCTTCAAAAAAATCTCCCACTCTTAAAGACTGCAATAATTCCTCGGGTCTTCAATGGGTTTTCTCTCTGCTCCAACCTGAGGATGAGTATCTCTCACACAACAATCCTCTCGGTCAATCCTCACACAACAATCCAGCCCCTCACACAACCATCCCACAGCTCACACAACAATCTTCTCTCTCACACAACAATCCAGCCCCTCACACAACAATCCTCTCACACAACAATCCCCTCACACTCGATCCTCCCTCACACAACAATCCTCTCACACAACAATCCAGCCCCTCACACAAAACCATCCACAGCTCACACAACAATCCTCTCACACTCGATCCTCTCTCACACAACAATCCTGCCCCTCACACAACAAACCCCTCACACAACAATCCCCTCACAGTCAATCCTCCCTCACACAATAATCCTGCCCCTCACACAACAATCCTCTCGCACTCGATCCTCCCTCACACAACAATCCTCTCGCACTCAATCCTCCCTCACACAACAATCCTCTCACACAACAATCCAGCCCCTCACACAACCATCCCACAGCTCACACAACAATCTTCTCTCTCACACAACAATCCAGCCCCTCACACAACAATCCTCTCACACAACAATCCCCTCACACTCGATCCTCCCTCACACAACAATCCTCTCACACAACAATCCAGCCCCTCACACAAAACCATCCACAGCTCACACAACAATCCTCTCACACTCGATCCTCTCTCACACAACAATCCTGCCCCTCACACAACAAACCCCTCACACAACAATCCCCTCACAGTCAATCCTCCCTCACACAATAATCCTGCCCCTCACACAACAATCCTCTCGCACTCGATCCTCCCTCACACAACAATCCTCTCGCACTCAATCCTCCCTCACACAACAATCCCCTCACACAACAATCCCCTCACAGTCAATCCTCCCTCACACAACATTCCAGCCCCTCACACAACAGTCCTCTCGCACTCAGTCCTCCCTCACACAACAATCCTCTCACACAACAGTCCTCTCACACTCAGTCCTCCCTCACACAATAATCCTGCCCCTCGCGCTCGATCCTCCCTCACACAACAGGTCGGCCTGGTCGGAGCCCCGGGGCCGCTCCCGCGGGGCCGGTCCGGCCTCATTCCCCTCATTCCTGGAAGCCCCCGGCAGATGGATGCAGAGAGCAGACAGTGAAGGGCAGAGACACGTTTAATACAGCAAATACACTAAAACTGGAACTGCGGAGTGCACGGACATCACAGCCACACCACAACCCCAGGGCACCGGAGGAGCCACAGCCCCGCGGGCAGGAGGGGACAGGACGGGGACCTTGCCCTGGAACGCAGCCGGGAAGGACGCCTGGAAAACTCCCTCTGCAGGGTAAGGAAAATTCCCTTTTATCTGTGGCGCTGGGGAAAAGCAGCACGCACAGGCTGGGCTGGGGTGTGGGGAGCTCCTCGACGCAAACACGGTGGGCTCGGGGTGCCAGCCATGTCCCCATGTCCCCACACCTCATCCCAGCCGTGGATGAGGTTCCAGCGCGGACAAGGCTGGGTCCCCCCGTGCGAATCCCTTGTCCCTTTCCAGCGCCTCCCGTGCGCGTCACCCCTCGAATCTTTGGCAAACAGATTCCTTGTGTTCCTTCCCAGCTGCGGGACCTGCCCGGCCCCTTCCATCCACGAGGAAGGACAAGGCGCTCCTGCTCCTCTGGGCCCACCGTGCCCACCCAGCACCCAGGGCTGGCACCTCAGGCCATCCCCACCCTGCAGTGGTGGCACCAAGCCACAACAGAAAGGGACACACAGGACAGGTGATCCAATTCTCCCCCCACCCCCCCAGGGATTTTGGTGATTTTCAGGGCGTCTTTATCCACAAGGAGAGGGCTGTGACTTTTTATTCCCCCCTCGGGGTGGGAGTATCAGCTGTGTGAAGCCCATCAGGTGTTTTCAACGGGATGGGGCTGGTGAGGTGACAGGTCTGGGCAAGTGCTGATGTGGTCCTTGAAAGCCCTGGGATGGGGCTGTGTGGCTCCAGCTGTCCCTCCCCAGCTGTCCCTTTCTCCTCGTTTTCAAATGTCCCCCAAGGGCTGCAGAGGATGAGCAGGGAACGGGAAAGCAAAGCAGGATGACCAGCAAAGCAAGGGCACTTCCAAGGAAATTTCTTGGCATCTGTCAAAGCTGAGCTCCTGCCTGCTGTTCACATCAGTTCTTAGCCTTTCTTTCACCTTTGTTCTTTTCCTACTATTCCAGAGCTTTCCCAGACTGCCCAGCTGAAGGACCTGCCTGCAGGACCCTCTGGAAACCTGCCGGGCAGGAGCCCCCCATGGGACCTACACAGGACACTGACCCCTCCTCAGGTGGGTGAGCAGAAAGGGACTTGTGTCCTCTGACCTGTCTCAGCAGGGATAAAAGCAGGAAAGGCAGTGCTAGTAGAAGGAATAATAAAATCCATTAAAAAAGCTTTGGGCTACTGGCTCTCCGACCACAGAAGTACTAAAAATACCTCATTCCTGAGACCACCTGTATTTTACAAACCCTAAAAGACTAGATTCTCTTTCTAGAAATTTAAAAAAGTTTAAAATCCATTGGTATCAACTCCTTCACCTTCACCACACCTTTAAAAACCACCCAGGTGGGCTGAGGGAGGGAGGGGGTGAGGGGCAGGGACCTTTCCATGCCCATCCCAGTCCAGTTTCACAGGACACCCTGGGACTGGGGGACTATCAGTGTCCCCAGAATGTGCTCCAGCCCCCAGTCTCCCACATCCCACACGACACAGCAGCTGGAGTGAGGGAATGGGGGACAGGGACACTGGAGCTGCACCCAGCATGTTCTCCCCTCCCTGTGCTGGGCTGCAATTCTGCATTCAAGCATGGAAAGGTTGTGGGAATGTCCACGGCAAAGGCAGTGCCCAGCTGTGCCCCAGCCCCAGGACAGGGATGGAAAGCTTTGGGGTCACTCTGAGGTGGAATGTGACACTGACTCTGCTGCTGAGGCCTAGGACTGGGAAAAGGACATCCCATGACCAGATGGATGATGGGCATCACAAAATAACCCCACCTCAACCGCTCCTAAAATCCACCTGATGCCAGCCCCAGGAGCGAGGGAAGCCACAGAGGGAGTGCAGGTGTGGAGGCAGCGCTGGGCTCCGTGGGGACCCGCTGGGACAAGGCTGGAGCTGGAAATGCAGGGATGTGCTTCGTGCTCACTCCAGAGCCCACTCAGCCAGCCACTGCTCGCACCGCGCCCGCTGCTCCTCCGTCTCCTCCCTGCTGCCTTCACCCCCTGCTCCCTCCTCTCTGGCAGCTTCCCGGCTCTCCTCCTCCTCCTCCTTCTGTGTCCCCTTGTCCTTGAGCTCCTGGATGACATCCTCCAGCCGCTGGGTGACGTGCTGGGGCACCCAGTTGCTGTCCATGGCGGTGACGAAGGGGTCGGGCGCGCACACCTCGATCAGCTCCTTGCGGGTGGGAATGCGCAGGTAGTAGGCGTGGAGCATCATCCTGTAGGGATTGCTGTCCTGCCTGTGGCTGTAGGTGAAGTCCCCCACGATGGGGTGGCCGATGGCGCTGCAGTGAACCCGGAGCTGGTGAGTCCTCCCTGGGGGGAGAGCGGGAATCAGGGACAGGGAAATTCCTGAATCCCTCCTTCAGGGCATGGTGACAATACTAATGGCATTTGTCCCCCTGAGCATGCCAGTTCTCAACTTCCTCAAGCTTTTCCAGGCTCTGCTCCATGTCAGAGCTGCCCCTGTCCCCACCTGTCAGTGGCTGCAGCAGCACTTTGGTGACAGGGTCTCCGCTGTAGGATCCATGTTCCAGCACGATCAGCTCCGACTGGCATGGCTTGGGATTCTCACAGCCTGCAAGGAGAGCCAGAGGGGGTTTGTGATGCCCCAGCGCATCCCTGGGGGTGTGGGTAGAGCAGGGGACGGGGCTGCTCACCCTCTGTGCCCTCGATGCACATCATGTGGGTCATGCCCTCCGTGGTGTTCTTCCCGATGGCGTAGCGGATCGTCATCCGGCTCTGGCTCACGTGGCCTCTCACCTGGGGACAGGAACGTGCAAACTGAGCCCTGGCAGATGCTCCTCACCCATCCCCCATGACAGGAATCACGGAATCACAGAAAGGCTGGGGTTGGAAGGACCTTAAATCCCATCCATTTCCCCAAGGCCAGCTCCTTGTCGGCAGCAGGGTCACCTTCAACACTGCTCCCAGCCCCACCCAAGCTGGCCTTGGACATTTCCAGGGATGGGGCAGCCACAGCTTGTCTGGGCACCCTGTGCCAGAATTCCTTCCTGATATCCCACCTAACCCCACCCTCTGGCAGTGGGAAGCCATTCCCTGTGTCTTATTCCTCCATGCCCTTGTCCAAATCCCTCTCCAGCTCTCTTTGAGCCCCTTTAGGCTCCAATTCTGAATCTTTCTTCTCCAGCTGAACACCCCCAACTTCCTCAGCTTTCCCTCAGGGCAGAGTTGCTCAGGAACACCAGAAGGCCAAGGCAGGAGGTGGCAGGCAGGGCTCACCAGAGCCAGGTAGGCTTTGGTCACCAGGCGCTCCTTGAAGCACTTGTAGGCACTGCCCGCTGCTGCTTTGTTGAGCGCCACACACAGGGCCCCGCTGGTGGAGAAATCCAGCTGGTGGCAGAACCTGGGAAGGACACGGGGGTAAAGGAGCGTCCTGGGTATCTCAGGAGTGTCCCCAGCTGAGGGCAGAGCCGGGCTCAGCGCCCGGGTGCTCACCTGAAGCCGTAGTAGGTGTCGGGGTCGGCCAGCTCGGGGAAGCGGTGCTTGAGCTGGCTCTGCAGGGTCAGCGTCTCGTACCACATCTTGCTGTCGATGCGCAGGTCCCAGTGCTTGTTGACCACGATGAAGTCGGAGCTCTGGTACAGGATGGACAGGTTGTCGATGGTGCCCGGCTCCATGGCCAGAGCCCTGCGGGGCAGAGAGAGCGAGGGGGAATCGGGATGAGGATCCACCAGCTGCTGGACGGGCACAGCAGCCCCGGACACACGGGACGGGCAGGGAGCAGGGCCTGGAGGACACCCCAGCAGGGAATGGACGTGTACCGGTGCTGCCGAGTACCAGCGTCACCTGCAACACTGCTGTCACCTGCCTGTCCCCCAGCCTCACCGGTGTCACCGTGCGGATGCAGGTCCCACAGCGGTACGGACGCTACAGCAGCGCTCCAGCCGCCGCCATGCCGATGTCACAGCGCACGGCTCCGCCGCTGTCCCGCTGTCCCGGGACGCCCCGGCGCCACGCGCGGAAGGCCCATGCCCGCCCCGCTGTCACGCGTGGAGGCCCCGCAGCCGCGCGGTGCCGGCTCTGCCCATCCCGGCGGTGGCGATCGGCCTCGCCCCGCTCCCCGCCGCAGCCCGGCCGGAGGGCACGGGACAGAGAGGAGGGGACAGGGGTCGCGCACGGCGGAGAGGACCCCGGGCCGGGCAGCAATGACCCGGGCCCGGCAGCGGTGACCCGGGCAGGGCGGAGTGACCCGGAGCCGGCTGCGGGAACCCGCGCAGCGCCCCCGCCGCCCCGGCCCCGCCCGCTCCCGCAGCGCCTCCCGGCAGCGCTCACATCGCGTCCAATCAGCGCCGCCCCCGCCGCGTCCACTCGCGCGCCGCGTCCAATCAGCGCCGGCCCCGCTTCCGCCCGCGCCTGCCGCGCCCAATCAGCGCTGGCCCTGCGGCGCGCGCGGGCGGAAGCGCGGCGAGCGCGGCGCCGGCGGGGCCCATGGCGAGTGCCGAGCCCGAGCCCGAGCCCGAGCCCGATGATGGGGCCGAGGATGGGGCCGAGGATGGCTTCTACGAGCGCTTCGCCGACGAGCTGGAGGTGCTGGCCGAGCTGGGAGGTGGGCGCTGCTGCGGCGCCGGGACGGGAGGCGGCGGAGGGAGGGAGCGGGCGGGACCGTGCTTTGCGCGCCCGCGTGTGCCCGTCCCGCCGCGGGTCCCCTCCGGTGACCGGCACCGTGGTCTGACCCCTCTTGCAGATGAGCCATCCCCACCCGCCGGCCCCAAAACATCCCAGTTCCGGGGCAAGAGGCAGCCGCCGGAGGAGCCCGCTCCCCCCGGGGACTCTCCCGGCGGCACCGGCGCCAAGAAGAGAGACCGGGACGGTGTCCCCGCCGTGTCCCCGGCAGCAGCCGAGCCCCGCAGTAGGTTTGAGCCCGTTCCCCGGGTGCTGCTGCCCCCTGCCCCCCGCCCTGAGCGGTGCCGGGTGCTGGAGCATCCCCTGGGTACCGCGGTCCGTCAGTGATGCTCTCGCTCGCTGCAGCCCCGAAGCCGAAGCGGCAGCGCCTGGAAGCTGTTAAGAAGCTCGATTTCGGTGCAGACGATGAGCTGGCTCCGGATGTCTCCTGGGATGGTGGCCCAGAGGCGCCTCTGGCTCCCCACAATACCAGGTCGGCCACCCTGAGCCCCATTCTTAACAGGAGAGAGGGGAAGGGCTGTTCTCCTACTGAAGGAATTTGGTGTTTTCCAGCTCGAACCACCTGGAGATGAGTGGAATGATCCCCATGCAGACCACACCACCCTTGGAAAAGAAGAGGGTCCTGAGGAGACCCCCCATCCTGGAGGATTACATCAACGTGACATCCACCCAGGGCACCAGGGTCTTCCTGGTGCTGAGGGATGATCCCTGCAGGACAGGGCTGGAGGTGAGGAGGGATCTGAAGGTTTTGCTTTGCTCCTCTGTGGCCTCCAGGTGGCTCAGGAGGGAGCTGGCTGTGCTGTGTCCTTGCAGCTCCCGGATTCCCTGGGCTGGAACGCTCGCAGGCCGCTCCACTTGCTGGGGGTGCCCTTCTCCCACCTAAAGGAGCAGGTGGATGAGGAGGTACCACATCTCCCTGACCTTCCCCTCTGTCCCTGCCACCCCTGCTGGCCACAGGGCTGGCTCCCAAATTCCTGTCCCCAGCCATGGACTGGGGGGTGTCTCTGACCCCTCTCTCTGTTTTACTCAAGCGTCGCAGGCAGGTTCTGGAGGCCTCCCAGCAGCTGACAGAGATCATAAACAGGTGAGATCTTGGTATAAAATCCTTCCCCAGTCCCTGCCACGCTGCTGGGTTTACCTCCCTCACAATCAAGTTTTGGGGGACGTGCAAGCAGAGGAGCCTTTTTGCCCTCATCACCCCCAGCTTGGGGAGTCTGGGTGGAGTTCCCACCCTGCCCTGGCTCCTGGGGTGCTTTGGGGTAAATTAATTCCATGCTGCAGTTGCCTGGGGAGCGAGCCCAGCGCCGAGAGCCCGGAGCCCAACATGGACACAGCTCCAGCAGCTGAGGAGGAGTCTGCATCCCACTGCCTCTGGGTGGACAAGTTCACCCCCCAGCGCTACATAGAGTTGCTCAGTGATGATGTGAGGTGCTGGGACAAGGGAGGGTTGGGATGGGTGGGGTCAGCACCTCTGCAGCTCTTCCTTAATGCCCTGGGATCAGGAATTGCCTTTGGAAGCACTGCCTGGGGGGCTGTGTCTGTGCTGCTCTGCCTGGGAGCAGTCCTGAGTCCCTGGGAGCCTGGGATGGCAGGTTTGCACTGGAGGCTGGGGATCTTCTGGCAGATGAACCTATGGAACGTCATCAAAATGAGACAAAAAGCATTGAGAGGATTTTAACCAGAAATTGTTGGCCGTTTTGAATTGTTTTGGGGAATGTTAGAAGATTTGTAGGGAGTTGGACGTGCTGGGAGAGGTTGGGGATTGCTGAGTTGAGCCAAGACAGCAGGGATGGGGCTGATGTGGCTTACCCAGGGTTTCCCTGAGGGATGGGGCTGCGCTGGGAAGGGAAACATTCCCACCTTGTCCCAGGGAGATGCCAGGCGGAGCCCTGAGCAGCCTCCTCCATGAAGGACAGCCTTCCTCTGCCTCAGCTGGGTTTTTCCTAGGTTCCATGGGTTTTTTCCTTGGGTTTTCCCTGCTCTCCTGCAGTACACCAACCGCTGCCTGCTGAAGTGGCTCAAGCTGTGGGACACGGTGGTGTTCGGCAAGGACAAGGCTGTCAAGAAGCCCAAGCCCAGCTCTGCAGCTCATCCCCCACTCAGCCATCCCAAGGAACATCCCAACAAGTGGAAAACCAAGGTCCAGCTCACTGAGGAGATGCTGGAGGCCGAGCTGGACCAGCACAAGAGACCCAAACACAAGGTGAGCAGGAGGGGGCATGGCTGCGGCGCCCTGTGCTGCCACCAGCTGAGGAGTAGTGTTGTCCCCTCCAAGGAGGAAGCCCTCCAGGGGTGACCTCCCCTCTGTGCCACAGGTGGCCCTGCTCTGTGGGCCCCCTGGCCTGGGCAAGACCACGCTGGCCCACGTCATCGCCAGGCATGCGGGGTACAACGCCGTGGAGATGAACGCCAGGTGAGCCCTGGGTGCCAGGTGAACCCCTGGGTGCCAGGTGAGCCCTGAGTGCCAGGTGAGCCCCTGGGTGCCAGGTGAGCCCTGGGTGCCAGGTGAGCCCCTGAGTGCCAGGTGAGCCCCTGGGTGCCAGGTGAGCCCCTGGGTACCAGGTGAGCACATGCCCTGCCCACAAAAGTGGGCAGATGATGCTGTGGCAGAGGTGATGCTGGAGATGATGGTGGCCTGGGGTGATGGTGTCCTGGGAATGATGGTATCCCAGAGATGGAGATGTTCTGGAGGTTATGCTGGAGGTGATGATGCTGTGAAGGTGATGGTGCTCTAGAGGTGATGGTGCTGTCCCGGGGTGATGCTGTCCCAGAGGTGATGCTGTCCCGGAGGTGATGCTGTCCCAGGGATGATGCTGTCCCAGCGGTGATGCTGTCCCAGAGGTGATGCTGTCCCAGGGATGATGCTGTCCCAGGGGTGATGGTGTCCCAGGGGTGATGCTGTCCCAGGGATGATGCTGTCCCGGGGGTGATGCTGTCCCAGAAGTGATGCTGTCCCAGCAGTGATGCTGTCCCAGCAGTGATGCTGTCCCAGGGGTGATGCTGTCCCAGAGGTGATGCTGTCCCAGGGGTGATGGTGCTGTCCCAGGGATGATGGTGCTGTCCCAGAGGTGATGCTGTCGCAGAGGTGATGCTGTCGCAGAGGTGATGCTGTTCTGGAGGGATGCTGTCCCAGGGGTGATGCTGTCCCAGAGGTGATGCTGTCCCAGGGATGATGCTGTCCCAGAGGTGATGCTGTCCCAGAGGTGATGCTGTCCCAGGGATGATGCTGTCCCAGCGGTGATGCTGTCCCAGAGGTGATGCTGTCCCAGGGATGATGCTGTCCCAGGGGTGATGCTGTCCCAGGGGTGATGCTGTCCCAGGGGTGATGCTGGCAGTATCCCCACCCCCAAGATCACCTGTCCCCGTGTCCCCTCACAGCGATGACCGCAGCCCCGAGGTGTTCCAGACCCGCATTGAAGCAGCCACCCAGATGAGGTCGGTGCTGGGCTCCCACGAGAGGCCCAACTGCCTCATCATCGACGAGATCGACGGCGCGCCCGCGGTGAGCCCTGCACCGAGCCCCTGGCACCAGCCCCTCAAACCTCACCCCATTAACAGCTCCGCCACCGTTCCACGGGCAGGAACCCATCCCTGCCATCCTGGTTTCCTTCCCCCCAGGCCTCCATCAATGTCCTGCTGGCCATCATCCAGCGGAAGGACGGTGAGGGCGAGGCGGGCGCGGGGCGGCGGCGGCGGCGCGAAGGGGGGCTCCTGCTCCGGCCCATTATCTGCATCTGCAATGACCAGTGAGTGTCACCTGCCCAGGAGGGGGACAGGGACACCAAACCCTACCCCCAGACAGGAGGTCCTGCTGGGGGTGTCTCTGTTTGAGTGCAGCTGCTCCAGTCCTGGGGTTTGTTTGGGCCCCTCACATTGAGTGGCTGGAGTGTGTGTGGGGAAGGGAATGGAGCTGGGAAGGGGCTGGAGAATTCCTGAGGGAGCTGGGAAGGGGCTCAGCCTGGAGAAAAGGGGGATCAGGGGGGACCTTGTGGCTCTGCACAGCTCCTGACAGGAGGGGACAGCCGGGGGGGTCGGGCTGTGCTCCAGGGAACAGGGACAGGAGGAGAGGGAACAGCCTCAGGCTGGGCCAGGGCAGCTCAGGGTGGATTTTGGGAAAATTCCTTCATGGAAAGGGCAGCCAGGTATTGGTTGGTCCTGCTCAGGGCAGGGGTGGAGTCCCCATCCCAGAGGGGATTTCAGAGCTGTGTGGATGTGGCACTTGGGGACAACATTTCATGGTGACATGGCAGTGCTGGTGGAACAGTTGGACTCAGTGCTGTGGGAGATCTTTCCCAAGCTCAATAATTCCAGGATTAAGAAGGGAATTCCCTGCTGGGCTCTCTCACCCCGTGTTTCCCTCCCCCAGGTTCGTGCCTGCGCTGCGCCCGCTCCGGCAGCAATCCTTCCTGCTCAGCTTCCCCCGCACCGCGCCCTCCCGGCTCGCCCAGCGGCTCAGCGAGGTCTGGGCCCCCCCGGGCTCCCCGTGCCCGTGGCTCGGTGTCCCCTGTGCCCGTGGCTCGCTGTCCCCTCCCCGCTGAGCCCTGTCCTGCCCCGCAGATCGCGCTCCGGCAGGGAATGCGGGCGGACACGGGCGCGCTGCTGGCGCTCTGCG